GAAGCAAAATGTATGAACCATAAAGCAAAGAACTGGTGAACCCGACTACACTAAACCATGATGGATGTTCATCCAAAGGCACTGATAAGACAGTGAAAAGGTAACCAGAGACTGAGAAGATACGTGCCACACACGTATCTGCTGAAGGTCTCATCTCCAAAATAGAACTACAAATCAAAATGAAAAAGACAATCCCAGAGGGGGGGAAAAAGGCAAACTACTCGAATAGGTACCTCACAAAAGATGATATGCAAATTATTAATACTGAAAAGGTACTGGAGCTCAGGAGTCATCAGGAAAATGCAAATTAAAGCTAAGATCCGGGCAGCCCGAGTGGCTCAGTGGTTTAGCACTGCCTTCAGCCCAGGGCTGATCCTGGAGATCCGGGATCAAGTCCCACGTCGGGCTCCCTGTATGGGGCCTGCTTCTCCCTCTGCCTGGGTCTCTGCCTCTCTCTCTTTCATGAATAAATAAAATTTAAAAAAAAATTTAAAAAAATAAATAAAGCTAAGATCATCAGACGGACCAAAAGTAAAGACTGACGGTATCAGGTGGGGCAGGGATGGAGAGCAAGGGCGACCCCCACACTGCCGGTGGGGTTGTCAACTGTTACAGGACCTTTGGAAGTCAGTTGGATGGAATCTACTAAAGGTGGACGTAAGCGTCCCCTATGACCCCGTGGCTTTAGTCTATATCCAGTGGGTATGTGGGCAGATATTTCCCAACAGGTACAAGTGTACAAGGATGTCTGCAGCAGCGCCATGCATCACAGGGAAATGCCCCGTCAACAGGAAATTGCAGCCTACCTACACCACGAAGCGTTCTACAGGCAGGACCAACTAGCTACAGGCAACGCGAGTGACTTTCACAGTTACAATGCTGAATGAAAAAGGCCAGAAGGAAGAGCATATAGTGTATGATTCCCTCTATATGAAGCAAAAATAAATGACATTACAAGAATAATACCCCAAAACAAAATAAGGACAAAACTAATATATGGTACTAGAAAACCAGAGAAAGCAGCTTTCGTGGGGACTTGTTTGGGGTGCTAGTTACATGGAAGTGTTTACCTTGTAAAAATTCTTTGATAGGTATGTTTCTGGTATGTGTACATGTATTTGTGTATGTCATTAAAAAATATATGTTTTTAAATAGAATATGCCAGGCCTGTTAATTAGTGAGAAAAAGGAAGAAAGAAAAGGAGCAAAGAGAAGAGAGGTTGGGGTGAGTATAAAATAATGAACGATTCTGGGGGTCATCTTAAATGTTCTCAACAGAAGAAAAAAGATTACAGCTATACGAGGCGACGGATGTTATGGTGGCAATCCTTTCACCATGTACACATATATCAGATCATCATGTTATCCATCTAAAGCTACTAGAATGTAGCATGTCCAATATATTTCAAGACCTGACAAAAGAAAACTTAAGTGAAACAAGGTGGCTGGTTGACCGGTTTCTTTCACTCAGTGTTGTCAGGCCTTTGGGTGAATATGGAATTAAATTCTGTTCCCAGTTTCCTCCTTAAATGCTGAGAAGTGGACACTGTTTTCCATGGTTACATAGTTAGATTTTTGTTGAAGTTTATGGAGCTGAGCAGTGGAGATCTGGCCACCATGGCAGCAACAAAAAGTTAATGAGGAAGAGATTGTGGTTTATGCTGCTCTGTGATTAACTCCAGATTTTGAAAATGATCTTCAAACCAAAGAGAATGAGGCAAACAATTCCAAGATTTGCAGGAAACCAACTCAAAAACAATTAATTTTCTACTGAGTGGCTATTGGAATAGAAGCTGATGAGACCAGGAAGGAAGCACCAGCTTGTCAAGGCGGTGGCTCCCCGAGGGGCAGCCAGCCCAGGGCCTGAGAACGGACGGACGGCACGTCCCGGAGCCGTTACAGGGAGACCCAGGGAGCCCCCCAGTGCTGCCAGATGAACTCAACAGCAGGTCTCCAAACGGACAATGGAAACTTACAGCTGTTTTTCCCACTGGGAGGAAAGAGGAGCAGAACTACTGTCCTTTGTTCTCTTCCTTTTCATCCCCTGCTCCTGAGTGGATGTAGTCGTCAGCGGGAAAACAACACCCAGCTTGACCACACAAGGCTCTTACTACGATGCCTTCTCGTAAAAACTTAATAATGGTTTACATTAGGAATCCACAAAATCCTTCCCCAGCAGTATATAACATTCTAAAGAGTGCTCGTTACTCGGATAGGTCAGGAAACCTAAACACCTTGCCTCTTCCGGGAGAAACAGCGTATAAAACAGACGTTGTCGTCTATCCTATCTAGGCTAAGGATTTTGAACCATATTCTAATTACCATAACTATACTTTAATTACATGAATTTGAGAGTTCTCGCTCAGCATACTAATTGAGATGGCACAGTGAAACCCTTTATCCTCCTAGATTCCAGCCAAATCCTGATGCTGAGGACGTGCCTATGGTTCTCAGAACTCTCGGGCCTGGCGCTTTGAGACCACAGACACACCCCGCAACCCCTGGGTTATGAGGAAAGGTTTTCAAACTCCAGCTGACGGCTTTACACGAGTCCTGCGTCCAGGTTATTACACCAAGATTGGGGAATCCCCAATTCTATTCGGGAACCAGTCTATTCGAGAGTAGCTTTCCCACCTTCCCTTCTTGCCCCGTGGGAGCTGGAAGTCAAAGTCAAGGGTAGAGTGTCAGTCACGCTGCAAACGTGGCATGATCACGGTCTGATTTTTGGTACTCATTACCTGGTCACCTTTTTCAAGCACAACATCTCTTCACCTAGACCTACAAGTCACTCTAGGGATTGGGCAACGGCAGCCTACCAGAGAAGAGAAGGAGCCAGAGAGAGGCAGGGGATCTGGAGGGGCACCGATATTTTGATTCTCCATTGCAGGACAGTGGCGGAGATTCAAAGGTGAAGAGGTATTGGCTGCTCGCCCATCCCATTGGGCAATGCCACAGTGACGTCCAGTCAGGCACCGGGTGGGCAGCAGTGGCAGTTCTGGCCCACGACACGCTGTGCAGCTACAGAGACGCTCCAGGCCAGTTCTGAGACCCGAGGGCATGCATCAGAATCCCTCCCAGAGGACCCATTAAGGCAGATGGCTGTGTAGCCACAGAGAAGCTCTGGTATTTTCCTTGCTGGTTCTCAAACTGTAATATGCTTCATTACCTGGTGATTTTAAGTGCCTGTTTTCAAACTCTGTCCTGGAGATTCTGATTCAGTGGGGAAGGGGTAGGGCCCAGGAATCTGCACAGTTGTTTGGTTGTGTTTTAAAAACAAGCTTTCCTTGTGATTTCGACCCAACTCTAAGCTCATGATTGAAAACCAGAGCTTAAATATTCTGAGCTGAAAATCTCAAAATAATTGCTCTCAGCAAGGACATTTACCTTAATCACTAGCATTTGCTCCGTATGGAAAAAAAAAGGAGGCAGGGAGGGGGTGGTGGGTGGAGTAACTGGATAATGGACATTAAGGAGGGCACATGATGTAATGAGCACTGGGTGTTATATAAGACTGATGACTCACTGAACTCTGCTTCTGAAACTAATAATATATTATGTTAACAGAATTTATTTTTTAAAATATTTTATTTATTTGTTCATGAGAGACACACAGAGAGAGGCAAAGATATAGGCAGAGGGAGAAGCAGGCTCCACACAGGGAGCCCAATGTGGGACTCAATCCCAGGACCCTGGGATCACGACCTGAGCCAAAGGCAGATGCTCAACTGCTGAGCCAACCAAGTGCCCTTGTTAATTGAATTTAAATAAAAATATTCTTTAAAAAGAGGTGGGGGGGGGTAAGGAGGCATCACTACATGTATCAAAAACATTAAGAACTCTCACTTCCAATCTGTACTGTTCAAGGACTCTCTCCCCAGCTGGCGAACTTGGTTTAGGATACTCCGAGGAGACACATTTCATCTTGGTGCCTAAGGAAGCTTTCTTGCTAAGATTTGGAAAAACTTTTTCAAGTCAAGTCACAACCCACTTGGAATTTCATGACCAAAAATTATTTTGAGTATTTCAATCACAACACTAGAAGTGATGGATTATATGCAAAAACACTGTCATTTAAAACTACTTCGTAGAGATATTTTTAAATCCTGACAGAACTCCTACCACAAAGTTTGAGATTAAATGGCTTCTCTAATGAAATTAAACTCTGGGAAATGTATTCCTGCTGACGGCTGTTGTTGCTAATCATCATGATGAACATCGGCAAATGGGAAAATTTAACAAGTCGATCTGTGGTGTATTGGTCCTTTCTGTCCTGGACTTAACTTTGCATTAAGGAAACAACCCAATGATGAGCAGGAGGGAACTGGACTAATGCATCCAGGTAAGAGAAGACTGTGCCACAGTAAAAAAAAAAAAAAGAGCATAGAGCAAAAAAGACAAAGAACAGAGTCTATAGAGTATTAGCTTTTGTCTACTACAGCAGGAGATAAGAATCTATATTTTTATTTTGTTTTGGAAGCATAGGCATAAAGCAGCACAGAAGTGAAAACAGTGGTTAATTTGGGGGGCACAGGAACTGAGCAGGTGGGGGAGTGATGGGATGGAGAATTTGCACTGTATTTCTGTTTATAGTTGCATGTTGAACAGCGTGAATGTATTACATACTTAAAAAAATATTTTTTTAAAAACACCTCTCAGTTCCAAATTTCTACTCACCTATTTCAGGAACTACCAATCTACCATTCTAGCTGCATGTTGCAGAAAACTGAGAGAAAGTAAGGCTACCCTCTACCTGCACCAGTAAACACAAAGGCTTCTGAGAATTTCTTTTTGGGAGCAATTTTTTTTTAAGTACAAGAATAAGAAGAAAGTCCCCCCAAAATACTTTCAGTGAATGGTTCTGATTTATAAAAAGTCAGTGAAATTCAATGACACAAAAAATACACGACGTTTGAACAACAAAGCCTTTCGGTGTGATAGGACATTGACACACGCCATGAGAAAACAGCTTGAAATACAAAAATACAGCTGTGATCCAGGAAATGGCACCAAATTAGAGCGGTTTTATTATTTAACATACCAATGTATATACATTATCCTCCCGAATAAGAAACAGTTTGATTCCAAAGTTTAAAATGTTGTTTCCAAAATGAATCCTTATTGTAAGTTTGAAAAAACAAAAAAGTCCTGCAAATTAACATGAACAGTTTTGATCCTTCACTACAATATGCACCCTGTACCAATCACCTCTTTCATACAAAATGTGTATTATAAATAAAACTTTCAAAAAAGATCTTGGATGATTATTGCACGTCGTACAGAATGCTTGCCGCTCTCTGAAAGGCTTTCAGCCCTTGACTGCTTTCACTGTTTAAAATATTGGCCTATGTAGGATCATAGATGAGGTTTACCAGAAACAGGAAAATATAATCTTACCAGACTACTTCTGTCACTTTTTCTACAATAAGAATGACTGTTTTCTACTGTTAAAAGCAATGACAAGATCCAGACAAATTGAAAGTCCTGTTCAAATGTCAGTTTTCTCTTTTCAAGTAGAAACCACTCGAAGAGGCATTTTGCTGGGTCATATATTTCTACTTTCTAGGACCAGCCCTTATTTAAGTGTATTTGTTAAAGGTCACACCGCAGGATTTGGAATAACGCTGGTCATCAGCAACATTTACTGTCTGGGTTTCAAGGTCTTCAACCTCTCTTCGCACTAGTAAAGGCCGCGCAAGTCAGCCAGGATGCCACGGCCTGGAAAGTGAGAGCCTTCCTAACCAGCTTCGTGTCATCCAGCACAGCGCCTAGCAAAGAGCAGGCCCTCAATAAATACCTGATGAACGGATGCACTAACCCTTGGGACCATTTCCTCTACTTAGAAATAATAACGATTTATGAGTAATATGTTGATCTTGGGTACACCGAACTAACATGATGGCTAAACAAAGAGCACACAGGACATGGCACAGACACCGTTAGCTTCTATAATCCTGTCCCAGGACAGCCTGTATATTTTAAGGGTTAAAACTATTCCAATAATAAAAATTGATTAGTCAAATATTTTTATTTTGCCAAGGGTCTCTAACAGTATTGGCCTTTGGCAATCCCCAAACATACAATGAACCCCAAACAAAACAAAACAAAATTGCACTATTACAAGGAAACGAGTCCGTGAAAGCAGAGAGGAGGAACCAGTTAAGGAACAGCCACTTCAAGGAGACGGTTGTTTTTTCGTTTGCACGTTGGGACACTCCCGTTTTTCTGGTTGCCCTGAATAAACTTCACACATACTTTATCCTGTCTGAACTGCACCAGGAACCTACAGGAAAAGAAGAGGACAAATTATAAGAAAAGTACACACGGGGCAGTGGACGATGACGCTAGCATGAACTTTTGTTCCCTGGTGGATATTGACCTTGACGAGTATTCCCACTTCCCATCAGCACTTCCTGCAGTCACCACTTGGCCCCAAGGAAACCGAAGTTCATTAACTCACCACGTTCTGGTAAGAAGGGCTAAGAAGAACTATTTCCACTTTTCACATGGGAAGACCAACACGCTATTCTCCTATTTCTCTCCATTTTTGCATAGAGAACATATAAGTGGGGGGGGGTGGGGGGCGTGTCCTATGAAATTATCAACAATTTGAGAAAATGAACTGAAAAATTTCAGGAAAGGGGTCTAGAGACCCTCCAGACTGTGATTTCCAAACACTGGCTCCTCACCTATTTCCTGAACAATTCTTGTCATGTCCACATGCTATGCTAATTGTCGTTTCTACCGTAAATAAATAAATATACTCAAAATATGGAAGAATAATAAAATCACCAGTTTGATCTGCCCCTTATGTTTTTAAATATCCATTAAATAGATATTAAAAAATATCTATGTAAAGCTATAAAATTTATGAGCTCTATCAGTGTACACCCAAAGCCACCTCTTACCCTACCAGAAATACATGTGCTACACCACGGGAACCATATTCTAGTCCAAATCTTTCCTTTCACAGACCATCAGGGATCAAGTGTCTGTCCACAAGATTATTCATCACACGTTCCTTCCACAAACATACCGCCTTCCCCCTGGGTGACGGCCGTGAGCGACACCTTACGTTTGCAGTGAGGTCCCCACCAGCAAGGCTGGCATCCCTGCAGAGGCAGGAGAGTGGCACAGCTGGTCCAGAACCCAGGCCGTCCTACCTCAAAGCTAGCATTCTTCTCTCCACCATAAGAGTCAGTACAGTGGCATCATGTTTCCGGTATGCCTCTCAGGGCACAGTTTTCTGAGTTGCTGGCATGTAGCTGAGTCACCCCAACAACAATGTGATAGATCACATGCTCCCTGGATCCACCACAATAGCAAACATCAGAACAGCTCTGTTGTGTACACATTAGTCTCTGTGTCAAGGTCTACAAAGCCCGTGCTTCGCAAACATTATCTACTGGAGTGAAATGTGACACGGAAGTTCCTGATTTATCAGCTGGTTTAATGGGATAGGACTTCCGAGCTTCTAAATGGGCTGTTTCTTTACAACTGCAGTCACTGAATAACAGGGCTGTAATTCCAAAATCGCATCATAGATAATACACACCTGTATCTAGGTACCTCAAAGAAAGAAAGCACCTTTTGAATCTAATGCCAATACACACATTTAAGAAATCGAATCTTTTGACATCTGACCACTTTTAGTATAATAAAGCAGAGGGGGTTCTCTTCCTGTAACTTTAGCATTGGCTGTCTTCACGTTCACGATTCATGAGGCAATTCACTCCGGAAACAACAAAAATAGTGAAGGTGTACTGGGTATTTATCATGCACCAAGCGCTATTCCTAGTTGGCTACTTATATTAATGCAACTTTAAAATAATCTTATGAGGCAAGTAATATTATTTATGTCTATTTCACAGAATAGAAAACTGAAGCATGGCCCACAGTATGGACATGTACTCAGAGATTCATTCTCCAGCAAACAACAGTGTTGAATGCATTAGAACTTCACAGCAGAAAGAATTTAGATGATTTGTTCTGATTTAAAATATTCACAAAAACAACCGTGTAAGTTAAAATGATATATATCTACATCCCTCTGTGTGTAAGTGTGTATACATGTACATATACATGCATATACTTAAAATCTTTAATAGAACAAATTCACTTTGGTATTTTTCAACACATTCAGGACTTCGTTTTTAGAAATTTTTTTTAGAAATATTATACATTTCATTTAAGGTCATCCTTAAAATGCAATCTATTTATGGACTGAAAAGTTTGAGAGTTTAAGGACTAGGAATTACAACTTAGGTTAAAATGGCTCTAAGGAGTAAATAAGACTTTGACTCTCCTCCTGGAAACTGACATCCAGTTTTTCCATCATGACCACAGAGACTGGGTTTGTTAAAATAATTACTTCTCTTCTGAGAAGGTCACACTTCTGAGGAAGGCGTAGGTCGCTGAACTGCATGCTGTTTATATGTTAATCTGTAGAGTTGGCAGTGAAATGTATTAAAGCCACTTCGGGCTGAAAAACATACATCATGGGCACTCCCCGTCCATGACTTTGTAAAATTCTGTTTAAATTTAAAATGGTCTCCAAGGAGGTGTATAATCCCTGCTTACGAGCTCTAAGGGTCATGAAACTAAGGCTACCTCAGCCCCTGCTTGGCCACAGCTCCCCACCTGGGTAGGTAGGTGCCCACAAGTGCCAGGCGGGGTTTCGTCCGTTATTTTGTTTCTATGAAACCAACCGACAATTAGGAATTGGAGAAAGAAAGGTGCTATGGATTGGTTTACAATGCTACCAAATGACTTGTTTTCTTCGCACAGCCACCCTGCAAACTGGCACTCACACAAGGGTGTGTACTGAAAGCTGACACATCCAGAACATCGTACCCCTCTCTGCGACAAGGCCAGGTCTCTGCCCCCACAAACAAACAATCCCACGATCATGTGCCCCACACAAAAACTGTGAGAACCACCAAAGGGGTTCTGTGGTTGCTTATGTAGGAGCAACGTGGCTCGCGCTATCCCGCCCAGCCTCTCGGGAGAGGCATGATGTGCAACAAGACGGCATATCTGGGAAGAGCGGTAGTAAAGAAAGATTGGGCATTTTTACCAGCGAATACTTTCTTTACAGCGGGGGCGGTGTTCCTACAATACAAGATTGGGAAATGCTTGAAAGCAGCAATCCTTTGTGGCCTGGATGTTGATGTGACTTTCTCTGTAAAGACAGCCTCATTAATGTAGGGAGCCAACCCTGAGGCTGCTTCAACCACACACCAAGGAGCTACTGCTTCTGGGACACACAGGATCTTCCCAGGATCGGTGGGAATTACCAGTTTGCACCAGAACAGAAGCCCTGCATCCCAAGCTATGAAACATTTCAGCTAAAGGGAGTTTAAAGTTCTAATGGGCCCTCAGGAGTTAAAATCTTGACTGCAGCCTGACTAGTCATTATATTTCTTCTCTAATACTCTTTGTTTACTGAAAAAGGACCCAACGACAAGAAAAGTTAGTCCAAACCTCAAGTTCCAACGCAGAGGATACATAAAGGTCAACTTCCCACTAGTCTAAACACCATTCTTAGAGTACAATGTGCATAGATGATGAACCTAAGGTTTTGTAAATCCTAAAACATCAAGGAGTTAGTGTGGCTTACAGAGGGATAAAGATGGGTATGAGTTTATTCTAGAAAGACTTTTAGAAAGAAGTGAAATAGAATAGGCTGGCAAAATCTTAATGAGAAAATAAAATCATTTCTTGAGCAATCTGGTGATGTCAATTCTTACTATACATGGACAAGCAGGTAGTAAGCAGGTAATAAACGATCTATTGAAAGGTAAAGTAGCCAATCAAATATCAATCAGCATAGTAACTCAAATTCATTCAAATGATCTCATATTGATAGATTTAGTAAGGGGGGGGATGCTCCAACCTGCATGTAAATGATCAATCTCTATCTATAATTAGAGCCCTACTGTGAAGCAAAGAAAAAAGGGAAATTTCAGATTTATATATAGCAGTCTTAGTACACTAGTCAACCCTTGTCACTATGGAAAGCTTATTCTGTAACTCTAGTTGTCTATATGTGAAAAAAAAGGCATCGCAAATGCAACACATCCACAACAGCACTCTTGATTTCACCCCACCCTGGCCACCCTTCCTTCTTCAATCTATTGCAGTAAATGCTACCACCGTTTGGGCTCAGGCCCCAAACCTTGCATCCAACCTGATAATAAGTCCTCTTGTTTTCCTCCAAATTAATTTGGAATCTGACTTTCTCACTACTTCCCACTCACACCCTAGCCTAAGTCATCCTAGACAACTCAGAGAAGCTGCTCATCTTTTTTCTCCTATTTTCTATTTTCTCTCCTATTTTCTCACTATTGCCTCCCAAGAGCTGTTTTCCATATTGCAGCCAAAGCAATCTTTGAAAATCACAAATGGGATCATGCCATCCCCCCTGGCTTAAAACCTGTAATGGCATTCCATCATCTACAGTAAAATCCCAGCTCCTAACCTCAGCTGCCAAGCTCTGGCCGGGTCTCTGCCTGTCTCTCCAGAATCTTCCTACCATTCCACTCTACCACTTTCTCTCGTGTCAGGGCCGCCTTTGCACCTGCTGCCCCCTGCCCTGGACGGTACCTCCTGAGATTCTTGCCTGGCTTGCTCCCTTGACTCCAGTCTCAACTCAAATGTCACTGCATCAAAGGGGCCTCCCTGACCTCCCTGTCAAAAACAGCACCCTCTGGCCCTTACCCTGCTTTGTTTCCCTCCACAAGCACTTGTCACTAACCACAGTACTATCACCTATTTCTTATTTATGCATATTTGTCTCTGCCACCAGGATGTCAGGGACATGAAGCCAAGGACCTGCCCATCCACCATCTAGAACAAATACCAGACACACCCTCGCTCCCTAAAGGTAGTGATCGCATAAATGGATGAGATCAGAGTCTCATCCATTTGATCAAAGCAATAAAGCTAAAGGTGAAATGGCACATTCAAACGATGATGCACATACTCGTCCGAAATTTCGATATTGAGCTTCTGTTTGGTTTGGCTGAGAGTCGTCCGATACAGCTTGGTGGCCATTTCAATCAGGTGATCACTGCTGAAGAGAAAGTCTCCTTTACTAGCTGCTTCGGAGCCCTACAAGGACAAAGCAAGAGTCAGGCTATCATAATTAAAAGGCAACTTAGGAGGTAAATGTTTACAGGTTTGGCCGAACACATATTTACAGCCTCTTTCAAACATCAGCTACTGGAGTCCACTCTTCCAAATACACAGTAACAACAAAAGCGGTATTTCTTCCAACTTGCTCAGAGCACTTTTACCTAACCTCATGCTGCCCCAAAAGTTGGTGGATGGGCCAGAGGCACCTCAGCACCACCTGGGAGCTTGTTAGAAAAGCAGAACCTCAGGTCTGCCGCAGGACTGCTGACGAGGAACCGCAGCAGGATCCCTGAGTGATTTGTTTGCACATTCAGGCTTGAGAAGCACTGACCTAACCTATAGCTCATTCTGAAAGCGCTATTTAAAAACATTCCTCAGTGATTCAGTTAAAAAAAAAAAAAAAACAAAAACAACCAAGAACAACACTTCCAACAAACATCCTAGGGCAGTGGCTCTTCCCCTAAGCTACACAAGGGAGCTTGCAAAAAGTAGGATGTTGTGCCTCATTCCAAGAAACTCCGATTTGGTGGGACTGGGGCATGGCCAGGCATCAGCATTATTATTATAAAGTGTAATCAAGGCTCAGAATCACTGTTGTAGAACTGGATGTGCTCTCTTGGAGTTAAGATCCACAGTAGGGAAAACAGGCTGAACCAAGCTTATGGGATTTTCCTAACTGTAGATGCAGCAAGGTAGATGCACCATCACCTAGATCCACGTCCCTAAAGATGATTAATACTTGCTCACATCTGCTTATTCAGTGACTATTTATTATACGATCAGAACTATACATATAACTATACATATACATCTCATTCAATCCTTTTAACAACACTATGAAGTAGTACTACCATTTGAAGGAGGAGAAAAATTCAGTAGGCACATGGAAGTTCCATGATTTGGCAAAGGTCACAGTAAAATTAGTAAGACCAACTCCAGAGCCTACATTCCTAGCTAGTCCATTTAAATCAGGAGGTCCTAGTTAAGCTAAAAAAAAAAAAAGCACAGAATGTTGCACAGAATGTTAAAAGGTCTGCAGGTCAAAATGGTTAGGCAGTTGTTTTATTGTGGTTGCATTCTTTAACTAAAAATTCACAAGTTAGGGTAGCCTGGGTGGCTCAGCGGTTTAGTGCCGCCTTTGGCCCAGGGCATGATCCTGGAGTCCTGGGATTGAGTCCTGCATGGGGCTCCCTGCGCGGAGCCTGCTTCTCCCTCTGCCTGTGTCTCTGCTGCTCTGTCTTTCTGTGTCTCTCATGAATGAATAAATAAAATCTTTAAAAAAATAAAAAAATTTAAAAAAATTCACAAGTTAAAGATGACAAGGGGGCATTTACTAAGTTGGTAGAGAGAATAAACAACAGGGGGAAGCATAAAACACCCTGATATTTCCACGAAATTATACTCAAAATCATGCACAACGCAGTGAGTGCAAACCAAAACTGCTCAGTGAAACTGGAACTCAACGACAAGGTAATAAATGTGATTACGTAATTTCAGTTAATCAATTTCAATTATCTAAAAACCAAGCCTGAGATTTTACATGGGAGTGAATATAGCCAAAATTTGCAAATCAGTAAGAAGTTTATGTATTGTAAACTTCAAATAGGAACATTACTCAGATGTGGAAAATTAGAATTCACTGGCTCAGAGACTGGGCAAATGCAGAAATCTTTCAGTCAAATCAATAGTTGAAACTTTACCTCTTTGAGGTGGACGGCAAAGAAGCCATCGTTTTGTGAGCTCATGGACACTTTGGTCACATCCACCAAAGGAACCTCTGACTTGATCTGCCCCGACTTTTGATCAGCAAGGAGGAGATTGTTATTTGTTAAGAGGAAAATCCGGGATGTGCTCTAAAACAAAACGAAAAAAATAAGGATGTAAAACCGATGATCAAAAATACCCCAAGTGGTCCACGAGCTTCAAACATTCGTTTATTTGTAGAAACGCCCATTTTATTCCGTATCTTTCAGCACACAGACTTACATAACCTGAAACACCCTAAAAACATAGACAATATATCTTAAGTCATGAAAGTTTCAGAGAACAAGCAATATTTCACCTAAGCTTAAAGGTTAAGGGGAAACAGCTTCCTGTACAGGAACTCTACAGAGAATATAAAATGCAAATCTGAATAATCAGAAAACTGAAGATGACTGTCCCAACACTCCTTACAGGTCTTCAGGGTTCGTGTGTTACCTTCCCATTGGCACGGTTAATTTTGTTCACAACTTCAGCAATGATAATCTTTTCTTCAATGGCATCCTTGAGTTTCTTATACTTGGGATTCTTGTTGATTTCCAGGTAGGCTCCTTGGAATGGTTGCCCAACGCTACGGGGAAAAAACATTCCTTCACATTAGAAACAGTTCCCAATGGAGGCATCACTGAATAAAGGTAAAAGACGTCAGCTGAATCTGAAGAGTGTCACTTCGTCAGAGTTAATTTTATACATCCTATACATGTCCTAAATAAAAGCTGGAAATGAAACCTTAAGCCTATTTCAGCATTTTGCTGAAATAAGCCTATTTATTTTTTATAATATATAATTATATAAAATATAATTAAGCCTATTTCATCTTAAGCATTTTGTAGGTAGGAGTTTGGTAAAGATCTTATCGTATGGAACAATCATGATAGAAACCAGTCACAAGAAAGAGAGCCGAGCCCCAAGGACATGGTCTCGTGTGAAGGGAAAGGCAATTCCTTCTAATTGGCTAACAGAAAGTTAACAGCTGCCCACAAAGGACTTCCAGTGCCTTTCAACACTATGTGGCGATGGAGAAAAGAGCACAGATCATTACCATCACCTGCTTCAAAGAGAAACTTCATTTTCTTGCAGAGAATAAGAAAATCAAGAGGCCGTCTGGGGGAGAACAGGGCCAGAACAACCACTTTAGAAGAGAACTACAGAGCACTTAATATAACCATGGATCTCTGGCTCTAAATAGGCAATATGTGAAAGGGGAACCAGGCCTCTCCTCCTAGGACATGGCCCTAAATGGACAAGGTAAACATTCAGAACCGGAGCAGTTTTCTTTCAAACAAACTACATCTGACAAGTAGCACAATCGTGCACTAAGATGTCAATTTCCCTAAGGGTTTGTAGGGTGACACTTTCAGGGCAGCTTCTTCCAAGACACCAAAAAAAAAAAAAAAAAAAAAAAAAACCAAAAAACAAACCCCAAGGCCAAAACAAAACAAAACAAAAATCCCACCAACAAAACAAAACAAAACAAAAATAACAACCCAGCCAACCAACCAACCAAACTGGCTTCATTCTGAGCTATAAAGTTCTGGCAATTTGCAACACAATTTTAAACGCTTGTGCCATGGGTGGAGGATCGGGAAGAAAAATCCATGTAGGTGGTCAGTGTTTCACAGCTCTCAGCATATAAAAGGCCGACACCCATGAGGGCTGCTGCTTCACACAGTGGTGGGAGGGTAAACCATCCCACCCCTCTGACTGCTGCAGGCTGAACAGAGCACCATGCCGGAAAAAGGATAAAACTACCCAAAAAGGACTTGGCTTGATGTTAGTATTTTTTTCTTGTTGCTCACATTCAAGCGTGTTTTTAATAATAAAAAGTGCTAAGAGCCTTTGAATTTGTTTCTTCACAAATGTATTTTTCTCTTTCTAGCTTCTCAAGAGTCATCCACGGGGAATGTTAATTAAGATGATTACGGTTTAAAAATCTATAAAGAAAAAGTTAAATAGATTAGTTGTTGGCGAGAGCACACAGGCAATTTTCACATCTGAATGTGCTTCATATAGCAGGCCCTTCGGATAACTTTGGATTCGGATGCTATGCTCGACTTACAGGGAGTAGATGCGGTCACAAGCCACCAAATCGGCTGACCCAGCAAGTTGTGTCACTGAAAATAGTTAAATCAAATGACCCTGGCAGCAATGTTTATTTCAACTTTTAAAAGGAAGAGCTCTAAAAAACAAATAAACAAACAAACAAATAAATAAAAGGAAGAGCTCTGAAAATAAATAAATAAATAAATAAATAAATAAATAAATAAATAAATATAAATAAATGGAAGAGCTCTGAAAATAAATAAATAAATAAAAGGAAGAGCTCTGAAATCTGTGTAAGGACACAGAATATAAACACAGCATCTGTAATACATGTGAATATACTCAGCACGTAATGCTTTTTTATTTCTAGGCCATTCTTTGGGAGAAACTAAAAGTTGTGATAGATTTGGTTTGAAATTGTACGATCTAACTCTTTCGGAAACACTGGACGAATAAGGGACAGGAATTCTGGGGAGAAATGATAAACTCAGGAGATAAGAGTATTCAGGTAAGCAGTCTGTACCGACGACTTCGCTTGGCCAACTTACAACTGGTGCTCCTTCTTTTACGGAGTACTTGGTGTCAACGATAAAGGACCTGACCTGACCGCACAGCCATGACATCATGCTCCCCCAAGTTAGCAGACCAGGAAGGCTAGCACAGACCAGGGCTTCAGCAAGGCTCAAAAAGTGATGTGCTGGTTCACTCTTCATTATCATGCAAATGAGTCCGACCCCACTTGTTCCAAGAAGACTGGAATAGTGATTGCAGCGTATTGGCAACAGAAATTGGGCTGGTGTCTGAAAACTGTGGAAAGCTAACAGGAACTTACGACGTGAATTTATTTATTTATTTATTTATTTATTTATTTATTTATTTATTTATTTATTTCCTTCTTACGACGTGAATTTATCTTAATAGCCTATACAATTTGTATTTTTAAACGACAGCTTCTGAATTGTTTAGGGAAGCATTCGGGCTAATGCCAATGAAGTAAAACCGACAAATGTAACCTCATTTCATTAAAGTATGCTATGGAAGCCACTGCTCCAAGGTGTTCATGTGTATGCATATCTAGCTGATTGTAGAAATCATTCATAAAATCAAAAAACCTCTCGTGTATCACCAAGATCAAACTCCACTAGAAACGACCTACAAATATATGTGAGGAACTTTTAAAACACCGACTTTTATGGGTCAAACAAAGCCGTAATACCTAGATGGGTATAAAGCCTTCTTGTCTTTGAAGAGTTCACTGGCTTCTAGTTTTTCTTCGTAAATAAGTTTCTGCTGGTCAGTGAACTGGTCTCTGTATTTTTTACACTGTGAGGAATGAAAAGGGGAAAAGAAAGGTGTCACTTATACAAATAAATCATTACTCATTCTAAAATATGCTAAATCGATTGAACAGCACCAAAAATAAGAGTAAATGTGTATAAAATACCCATTCAAAAAAATCTAAATAAAACATTACAGGCTTCTGCAACATTCCTTCAGAAAAGATGAAAAAAAAAAGAAACAAATCAAAACGGAATGAAGTCACGCACCCTCCCTTCCAGCCAAGGCTGAGAGGAGACAATCATGGGAACACCTGGCTGCCCTGGGAATTTTCACAGAAAGCCAAGTACACGCATGATTCAAAAATACCAGAGTCCTCAGGTACATCTCCTCGAGGCTAGAGGAAGAATGTGGCTAAACATCCGCTTTGACATACTTGTCAAACGCTCAAAATATATGATAAGGAGGCTCTGGGGCAAAACCTAACAGGGCATTTTTTTTACCCTCCACAAGTGGAAAATCCTTTTTAGCTCCTTGTGAGTAGAATCCAAGAATAGGTAAGGTCTCGATGGCCAGTTCATGTCTATTGGAGATAAGGAAGGCATCTTATTTTTCATATCCAAGAAGTATTTTTGCACCTGTGTTGGGTTTGACAAAAAAAAAAAAATGCTAGATGAATAAAACACACCAGAAAAGACAGTCTTACATGAACTGAGATCAAACAGACCAGCCTTTAGTGGAATGCAGCAAGTTTTAGTCTACAAAATGTTGTAAGTCCTCTGGAAAAATCTCTTTTTTTATTCCGTGTATTGGTTGGTAAAATCAAAGCTCCACTAAATGGTTAAGAGGAAAGAAGAATGCTGACACTAATATTAATTTTAACATTAACATGAATACTTAACACCAGCTAACACTAGAAAGCTTCATTGTTTAAGAGAAGAGAGATGGCCATCAGCCACATGTGGCGACTGATACTTAAATCTCAAGTAAAATATTTAAAATCCAGGGGATCCCAGGGTGGCTCAGTGGTTGAGCACCTGCCTTCGGCCCAGAGCCTGATCCTGGGGTCCCGGGATCGAGTCCCAGGTCGGGCTCCCTGCATGGAGTCTGCTTCTCCCTCTGCCTGTGTCTCTGCCTCTCTCTGTCTCTGTGTCTCTCATGAATAAATAAATACAATCTTTAAAAAAAAGTCTAAAATCTGGCTCGTGAGTTGCGTTTGTCCCACTTCAAGTCAGCCACACGTGGCCGGGTCTCCTGTACTGCATGTACCACAAGGACACAGGACATTTTCATCACTGAGGGGTTTCGTGGGCAGTGCCCCGACATGAGCCCTGCAGGCATCGTAGGAGCTTTCTACTGTCGCTCCGCTTTAGAGGTGACAAAATGAGGCCCACAGAGGTCCTCTGCCCAAGTCACACTCCGGGTGCGGTGGAGCACACTGGCTCCCGAGCCGCACTCTTCCCCTGCAAGACGGGGGTGGATGCTGGCATCCACCCCGGGAGCGGGAGCAGCGCGGTCAGGCTGGCGCCCATGGCCCTGGCCCTCGCCCCGTGCGGCCCGTGGAGGTGCAGCAGATCCAGCCCCCAGGGGATAGGAAAGGGCCTTGGGGAGCCAGTTCAGTTGTAAGGTCATGAGGGGCAGCGCCCCTGGGATCAGCGGCCTCTCCAAGACACAGAAGAGCGCGTGCTTCTCTGTCCTCTCCTGTGAGGAAACCAGGAAAGGGCCTCACAGAGCCAGACCCGTTGGCACCGGACCCTGCTGGCACCGTGACCTCAGGCTGCCCGGTCTCCGGAGCTGCGAGGCACAGCTGCTCACTGCTTAGGCCCCACGGTCTGCGGCATTTTCATTACGGAAACTTGAACTGAGACATCTGGCTTTCTTGGGTTCACCTTCCCCAAACTAAGCTCTCTTCATCAGAGAAGAATATTTTAATCAATGAATTAAATTCTTATTTGTAAAGTATTTAATTTTTATTTTATTTATATATTTAAATTCAATTAATTAACATATAATCTCTTATTGGTTTCCGAGGTAGAGGTCAGTGATTCATCAGTTGCATAGAACACCCAGGGCTCCTGACGTCAGGTGCTGCCCTCAATGTCCATCACCAGGCACCCCCCCCTCCAGAGACCCTCAGTTTGTTTCCTATGATTAAGAGTCTCTTATGGTTTGTCCCCCTCTCTGATTTTGTTTTATTTTTTCCTCTCTTCCCCTATGATCCTCTGTTTTGTTTCTTAAATTCCACATGTGAGTGAGATCACGTGATAATTGTCTTTCTCTAACTGACTTACTTCATTTAGCCTAATACCCTCTAGTTCCATCCATGTTGTTGCAAATGGCAAGATTTCATTTTTTTTATACAATTTATTTTTTTTAAGATTTATTTATTTATGGAGACACACAGAGAGAAAGAGGGGGGGGCAGGCTCCATGCAGGGAGCCCGACATGGGACTCGATCCTGGGTCTCCAGGATCATGCCCTGGACCGAAGGCGGTGCCAAACCGCTGAGCCACGCGGGCTGCCCAGATTTCATTTTTTTTTTGATGGCTCAGTACTAGTCCATTGTGTATATGCACCACATCTTTATCCTTCATCTGTGGATGGACATCTGGGCTCTTCCCACAGTTCAGCTATTGTGGACATTGCAGCTGCAAACACTGCGGGCAGGTGCCCCTTCGGGTCACTACCTTTGTATCCTTGGGGTAAATACCTAGGAGCACAATTGCTGGGTCACAGGGTAAGTCTATTTTCAACTTTTTGAGGCCCCTCCATACTGTTCTCCACAGCGTCTATACCAGGTTGCATTCCCACCAACAGTGTAAGAGGGGTCCCCCCTTTCCCTGCATCCTTGCCAATCTCGGTCATTTCCTGTGTTAATTTTAGCCATTCTGACTGGTGTGGAGCGGCATCTCATTGTGGTTTGGATTTGCATTTCAAATCTGATGCCGGGTGATGTTGAACATACTTTCACTCTGTATTTATTTATATTTTTAAACGTTTTATTTATTTATTTAAGAGGGAGAGTACAAGTGGGGGCAGAGGCGGAGGGAGAGGGACAAGCAGACTCCCTGCTGAGCAGCGAGCCTGCCTGGGTGGGGGTGGCCTCGATCCTACAACCCTGAGATCATAGCCTGAGCCAAAGCCAGACACCCAACTGACTGAGCCACCCGGTGCCCCTGAAGAAGAACATTTTATTAATCATATGCAGGCCACTAAGAACTCTCTGACACATTTCTACCTGAATTTGGGGGGAAATGACAAAAAAGTCACACTCTCTTAGTGTCACAGCTAGGATTTCATTGCTACCACACAAGTTGCTTATTATTGAGGTGATGCTATTGACCAGTTAATGCAATAAGGCTAATTAGCCATACAGGAAGTGTAAACTTACAATTCTCTGAAGTGTAAATTCATATATTTTCTTTCCAGCATTGGCTCTGAAGAATTTCCTGTACTCTCTACGTACCTTTAAAAAGAAGCATCAGAATATAGAGGTTACCGTGTGGCCAGCAGATGCCCATACAGATGATGTGCCTCTATCTACTAAAAATGAAAATGCATACAACAAGTAAAACCTCTCAGTGATTTTCTGGATATAGTAAAATAATCGAAGCACACTGAGACAGTGGATTTTAAATTAGAGAAAAAGAAATTAAGAGATACCAAGTGATGATATTGGAACGTTCCAATGTTTTAAATCCTCTTAACTAGTTTTTAAAGAGCCTGATGATTTGACAAAAAACACTCGGCAGACAATAGCTGCAAACTCATCACCAATCAAAACATAGTTCAGAAAAAAATTTTATAAGGTGATTGTCACTGCAAATTGTTCTTAAAAGGTGAAAAAATAATGCCTGAAGAACTCTATTGCAGTTTCCAAAAGCCTTGCATCCGATGACAGGACTTTAGTACTGCACACTGAGAACTAAATGTGCTAAAAATAAGAATTTAAAAACTAGCTTGTGAACTACCACTGTCTTCCATATAATTGCACTAATTTTTCTCTAATCTCTGTTCCTACCAACGTTGCTGCTAAATATTATCACAGCACTCAGGACATCAGGTTACATTTTTAGTTTCCTGATTTCCTCCTGCTACACTGTCATATTTACTTTGCATATTAATGTCCAACAAATCAAATAACTAGGTGAGGTGTTTACCGAATGGACGAACGATATAGCTGAATCCTGAAATTACGGAAAAATTATTTAAAATATGTATTATCATCTGGCTGTAAATGAGAACATTAGATTTTAGCAAATGCTAGCCTATTTGAATAATTCACACATTATGTACCTTTTGCTTTTGTCTTTAGTTTTCTGGGTTTAATTGCACATGTTCAAACATTTCTACATTAGGGATTATAAGCTAAGAACCTGCTAACCATATTCAGTTTGTAGAAAAATGTTTTATATGCCTATTTTTAAGAATTTCACAGAGGAATTCCGACCACGTGTTTCTCTTTAAATTTTCTAAGATCTAGCAACAGTGAGCCCGTTCCCACATAACAAGGACTATGGGGACCACAGGAGCTGCTGCCACCTTTACGAGATAGGCACGCTCCAAACTGCTCGAGGCCCCATCGTTCCCAAAACACCTGCCCTCTGCTACCTCCGTCATCCACGTGACCGCCCTGGTCCCGTGGGGCAGGTGAGCACCAGGCCCATTCCCTGCCCTTGTGGATTATTAAGGTTGAAAACTTTCCCCCATCCACTATATAGGAAGTTTTTCCTTTTGTTCATATTCCATGTTACTGATTATTGTTTTTCTTTTAGCCAAGATTCATATCCATTTTAAATCTCAAACTATTAAAGTTAGAAGGGACAAGGAGAAGAAAAATGAAACCTATTCATTGGCCCCCCAGAATTTTAATAGTGTAGGAAAGCAGAGAAGGTAAAGTGAGATTTCATGTAAGCAATCCATAGAAACTCACTGGAAGTCCTACTATGTTTAGTTGAATGCCACTGTAAGGGAGTTCCCTGCAATGTGCTTTTTGATATCCACAGCAATACTTCTGACTATTCTCTGGAATTATAGCTATGTGCAGAAAAGGCCTGGTGACAACATGCTGGCATATAGGATGGGTTCCCCTCGTGGGCCCTGGCAGTCCTAAAAGGATCCATGAACCTTGTAATCAATTCCACATTTTAATCACCTAAAAGGGCAAAACTACTGCTCTTATCAATTTCTTAGAAAAAAAAAAAGCACAAAAATTATTACGTTCTTGGGCTTCAAAGAAGTTTGATCTTATTTCCTAACAATAGTAACCTATTAAAATATTTGTTTTACTAGAAATGGGGGGGGGGAAGAGTTACATCTAGAGGAAGTCCAGTTCCTTCCAGTTAAAACCATTGACCTACAAACCGAATTTGATTTATATGTTGCTAGTATACACCCCTAATATGAAAGTATTTCTGAAAACATATGCAAGTAGTTAAACCCAGAAAACTAAAGATAGATGTGATACTGCTGGTAGAAATCATGACACAGTAAAAATCCATACTCAATGTTTTGTTCCTTCTTTTTATGAAAATCAGGATGCAAATTAGAACAAGCGAATAAAATGGGAAATAAAATCCTTTTTAAAAAAAGTAGTTCTAGGGTGTTATTCTGTATGTTGGTAAATTGAACACCAATAAAAATTAATTTATTAAAAAAAATTAAAAAAAAAAGTAGTTCTACAACTTGTTCAGAGTTCTTGGAATAGAACATCTTAAATTCATATTTAAGTTATTTCTTAATTACTTCAAAAATTACTTGATGAATATTCGGTATAATCAAAAAAGGTTAATTTACTTGAAGTTTAGAGGCTAAACTTTCAGGGTGAAAAAAAAAGGAGATCATTCAAGAGCCGAATGTACAGATACTGCTAATGCTCTTTTGATCCAGAGCCAATGGTTTCCTGGATGGTATTTAAATATTTAGAAGATGAATTGTTATACTATCACAGCAAAAACAATAAGGAGAAATCATGTCGAAAAGGGGCCTAATTATCCCCAAAAGACAATACGGATGGCACCCTACGGTGATGAGTTATCGAATACCGGGAAGACACAATCTTTAAATACTGCCTAAAATTTGTTCTCCAAGTTTTCTGGGGCTCAGTCCCATTTACTTACGTGCATCCTTAACTGAAGTACTAAGCACCACTCAGAAATAAACCCTGGCCTTAATTAAAGGGCACCTGAATCTAAAGTTCTCTTTAACCTGAATGATAGATCCACTGCTGGTCTTATTTGTCCGAATCTGTACTTTTATGCAAAATCCTCTGGTTTCTATGCTGAACAATCAGAATAGCAGATAGTCTGCAGAAAGCTTGGCTCCAGGAGCCATCCGCGGAGTAGGAGAGGCGGACAAAGGGGAACAAAAGCCTGACATGCCCCCGCTGGCCACTGCAGACAGCAGGTCAGCTTTTGGCTAGACTACTGTAACCTTGTGTCATGAATTAAAAAAAAAAAAAACCCACAAACTGCATCCTCATAAAGATAACGGTAAAACAGAAATCGGGTAACAAGGTGTCTCATTAGATAAGATAAGCTATGGTGCTAGGACTTTAAAACCGATTGTTTCAAGAAATACACCATAATAAAATCAGCAAATAGTAGCGCACAGGTCTGTTCTCAAAAGGAAATGCAATTAGGCAAGACGACATCGTCAAGGACCGTGCGGACCGTAAGCAAGCATCATCAATCATTTTCTCAGGGTTAGTAAGTGCTGGGCCTCGTTGAGTTCACCGAGGGCGAGAGAAGGGGTGGGGAAGTACCTTTAATCCAAGCCAGTAAGCCCAAATGACAGCAACTGCATGCTTACGCCTAGCCTCCTCCTTCAAGCGTTTCAATTCCCTTCGAGCCTAGAACGTTTTAGATAGTAAATAAAAGAGACAGCCCAATGCAGACAGCACAAATGACCAGAAAAAGATAACCCACCACACGGAAGAGCCAACTTATGCATAAGGATTTCAGAATGATAGAGAAGAGGGCCCCGTCCCGTAAACTCGAAGGGTCGTGTACGGCTGGTGCAGTCCCTTAGTGCGCTGAGCCTCTGGGCTAGAGGAAGGTGACCTGAGTGGGAAGCGCGCCTCTGCCCCCCTATGTCCACGTTTTTTCCTTTTCCTTCCCTGTTCCTGCTCCCTCCTCCGCTCCCCCACACTCTCCTTCTCCCTTATCAGGGCCTGAGAATGTGAGGGGCAGCTAACAGGGCCGCGGCCGCCCTCCGGCCCTCCGGCTGCCAGCACACGGGGCTGGAGAGCCACGACCTTCTGGGTCCCTCGCTCGGACGTGTAAAATCAGCTCCTGCGAACAGCCATTTAGGTGATGGGCGGTAAAGGCTGTTTCTCTGGAGTCCACACAGAAACACGAGACTCAAAAGTCCGTTCCCATTAGAAAATCAGAAGAGGCATGAGTCGAAATTCAGTGTGAGCTCAGGGCCCCAGACAGTGAAAACAGTGAGGGGACTTCTAGGTCTAAAAATCAGTCTTAGGGACAAGTGCAACTGAGGCACGTTACTTTGAAAGAGGAAACAGGCAGTGCTTTTGCAGTACAGCACACTGCAGTCCTCCGGCGGGGACGTGAGCCCACTCGGCGTGGAAGTCCCAGGGACACTTAAGCGTCCCCATGCCTCTACTTACCAGAGGAACTAGTCTGTTCACCACAGATTTTTGAAGGGAAAACGCAAATGAACGACTCTGGTGAGTTCTTTTGGCAAAGTAAGATCTGTATACAGGCAAATGTTGACTTTTCTCATTTTTCTCACAAGATGGGTTTCTACTGCTGACAAGGTAAACTTAAAAACATAGGACTCTATTGGTATTTATGTTTCTAACTGGAACATGCATTTTTAGCAGGGATGACCTTTGATTTTCTAAGTAACAAAAACATCTAAAAGTCCGGTCCCTTGGGGTATGTGAAATGTTCACAGAGCCCACGACTCTGCCTGGGGATTAGGGAGAGTATTTCAGGAGGCCTTTGTTTCTGAACACAAACAGCTGATGCTGAAATTCTTGGGATTCTTCAGTGGCAATTACAGCTAGTTTTGCATGAACAGAGCTTTCTGTTAAATCACAAATGATCATTCTTTCCACACACAATATTTTGCTTATGATAATCAATGGCTGCCACAGGGAGCCTAAAACACAATTTCATTCGTGGATTAATATGTTGTAAGGCATGCGTTAAAGGGGGTTCTATTACCCTCATGTCGCAGAAAACCAACTGAAGCCCAAACCTTAACGTTCCCCACATGCCCCCCCAGCCCCCCACCAAACAAAAATACCTTAAGAAAACCGCCAGGATACGTATGTTGGTGTGGTTGGAGGGAAGGAAGGGGAGGGGGAAAAAAACCCCAAAAAACTAAGCATGCGTGTTACTTGAGAGTTTTGTTTTTTAAAAAGAGCAACTAATACTCATGCCTCATTAATAAGCAATTAGTGTTTTTGGCTTCCCTGTGCTTAGGGACCCTAGTGGACACTTACTGCCACTAACATATCCAGGTTTATTCAAACTCAGCTGCTAGGACATGCACCAGTGTGAGCCACCGCTAGCTGTGGTCATCGGCCCCTGATACGCTAAAGATCCGAACTGATTACGGTGGATTCCGGGGACGGAATAATGGGACGTGCGAATGGAGTACCTTGGATCCAAGCCAGTAAGCCCAAATAACTGCAATAGCATGTTTATTCCTAGCCTCCTCCTTCAGCCGGTTCAGTTCCCTTCGCGCCTGTGATGCATGTGAAAAGGAGTCACAGAAAAGTTTAAGGCAAGGAAGGTTACAGCTGCTTTCCCAAAGGGGAAAAGAAGAGGAGAGACACCAGTCACCATCACACAGTTAACGCGGAAGCGTGTGCGCCGCCACCCCACACCAAAACGTCGAGGAGGCAGACAGGTCAATGCGTGCTCAGTAGCTTAAGCCAGAGAAACGCTTGCTGCCCCCGGAGGAGAGGGTCCGTTGGCCCGCACGCTCCCCCCGACCCGCTGCCTTCCGGGGGGCAGCCTCCGGCCTACCTGGGTACCATGCCAGTACGCCGCAATGGTGGTGGCCGCTTCCTCGCAGCGCTTCTGGTGCTTCAGTTCCCTTAGGATTTTTCGGGCCTGAGGTGAAGAATCACCCGGAAAAACAAGAGAGTGAACAAAAAAATGAAATTCCATAGGGACTGGAAACCAATACTTGAAGAGACAGTCGTCATATCCAGTCTCCAGCGAAAGATCCCTAGTCTAAAGAAAGGGAAGGGAAAGGTTGCTTATATCAGCCCTCGGGGGTGAGGAGAGGGTGGTAAATGGAGGCGTCGTTCCGCAGGACGGCATAGCCCTGGCTGGGACAGAGACAGCAGCCAGCTGTGCCCTAACGTGCGGCAGGGAGAAAGCGTGAGCACAAGCCGGGGGAGCTGGGGCACATCAGATGCAAGGAGCCGCCCTCGGAATGTGGTTGGAGGATCTCCGATGGCCCACCAAAGTCCATTTGTCGCTTTTATCACTGTTGTATAGAAGGTAACGGCAGCTATGCTTTTTACTCAGAAGACATCTTTAAAAACTTGCTAAAACCATCTCACTGGTCCAGAACCAGTGGCTTCTTCCCAGTAGCTGCCAAGATGGATTTTGTGGGGGCCTGGGATGGGGAGGCACGAGGTTTGGAGATGGACTCTGAATCTCCAAAGTCTCTAGACCGGAGTCATGGCCCCATGACCCGGTAATGAGGTCAGAGAAGAACCAACAGGCAGTAATTCACTTTCTCTATGTGCCCGGATTTATATTTTGGCATTTGCTGTGGGACAATTTACCAAACTGTCTCACAGGACTAGACAAAGGTCAACTGATGCTACTCGACTCCTGGCCGAGGGCTCTACTCTCTGATGGGGTTTGGGCCTGGAAGCTACCTGGAAGTAGCCCCTCTGGGTCAGCTCACTGCACAAAACCTCCCAACAGGAAAGGGGTCAGAATTGACCTAGAGCAGACGTCAGGAAACTTTGCGTAGAATCTAGGCCAGACGGTACACATTTTTGGCTTTGCACATCCTATGTTCTCTATCATGGCTACTCGACTCTTGACATTATAGCGCTAAAGCATCCACACACAACATGTAAATAAATAAGCAAGGTTTTGTACCAATAAAACTTTATTTATATGAACTTTGTATTCCATGTAATTTTTACATGCCACAGGATGTTCTTTTTTTTTTTTTTTTTGGTTGTTTTGAACAATGCTTTAAAAATGTCAGAGCCACCCTTTGCTCTCAGGTTGCACAAAAACAGGCACAGGCTTGATGTGCTCCAGGGGTCGTAGTTTGCAGACCTCTGAACCAAGCTTGCAGGAAGGACGTGGAACTAGGTGATGGGTGCACTGTGATCCCCACTAGAATGGCCAGAGCTCAGGATGTTTTGATCATTACGGCCCACAAAACAGTCACTAGGAAGTTACAGAAGGAGCTGGGCTGCGGGGCTGAGGTCCAGCAGGATGCACAGGTGCGTAGGCAACACTGTGAGAGACGGCCTTCTGGACTACAGCTTCCCTTGCAAACAGGGGGCAAGAGGATACTGAAAGCATGTACGGTATTATTTCAAGGACTTCCTGCTCCAAGAACAAAGCTCTTAAAAGGACAGCCAGTTGGAAGGATGCAGCTAAGACATGGTCACAAGGGCCCCAGCGTCGCCCATAATATTTATCCTTTCCATCTGACTGTTTACAGGGTAGGCAGGAGATGAGGAGCTCTCCCCTGCAGGGTGACCTTAAAGACATCATCCTTTGTGAAAGAACCTGAAAACTCCAAACAAATAAGGCTCATTTCTTTTAAACTTACCTTCCAACCCCGGATGTAAGACTGAATTACCAAAGCAGAACTCTTGATCTGTTGATACCTCTTTTGTTGCTGTAGGACAAAAGGGAAAGATTTTAGCAGTTCTATTTACATATCTGTGATACACACACCACAAGGACTGAGAAAGAGGACTTGCTTACTTGGTGCAATCAACACTTGCTCTCCCACATTCCTTCTGGGAACCAATGTGTACAGAAATCAAAGTATCGAAAATCCAAAATCATTATGGTTAATCCAGAGTACGCTTCAAGGATGCTAAACAGAACTAAGTGATCATCACTTTAATAGAACTGTGAGGATAGAAACGTGTGAGATGCTAAACAGAACTAAGTGATCATCACTTTAATAGAACTGTGAGGATAGAAGCGTGAGTCCAAGTCCACTCCTGCACCCAAGGACTTACAACGCGTACCAGTCGGCAGCGGGAAATACCAACAGCCTCTTGGGAGAGTCGGGGGAGCACCGAGTAGGCTCAGATGTGCCCAAGGTTACTTCCAGGTGGGGGAGGTTGAAGAAAACCCAGGGAGCCTCCAAGAAGAAGGCCGCAAGCTCCATGCCCCGAGGCCCTTTATACTTCTAGGGCTGATGCCTCAGAGGGTGGAGGCCACTGGAATCCCAGCCCTAGGAAAGTGAGCTCTTACTCTATTGAATGAGAAACATTCACTGGCACACGGGCACCTGTGATGAAATTTCGCAGCTTTTCAAAGTACAGAAGTCTTGCTGCGCTTCCTTCACCGTGGAAATGCTAGATTGCTTAGCTCCCTCGACTGAGCGGGGAAGACTCACCTTCCCCCACTAGGCTGCATTTTGGAAGCTCAGAGGAAACAGAGCGACGTTATCAACACGTGAGCAGCAAAATGAGAGGATGTCAGAGCAAAAGCTCTTGGACAAGTCCCTGCCTTCTCCGGGGCTCCGTTTCCTCAGCCTCCAACATCCCTCACAGAGGAATTATTCCACGGCTACGGAACGAACTATACCTACCACATCCGACCACCTCTTCCGCTATCCATTTGGTAACTCAACGTGCTCTTCCGGAATTCAAACGGCTCGAAAATAACTACCTCACTTTTAAGATTCATCTCATAGAGCCATAAAATGGATTTTAAAATAATCAGCAACCGAAAGTAGGCATGGAGAAAACGTCGGAGTTATCTGGTTGAGGAACGATATTGAGTTTAATCACTGGCTTGGATAACGTGTAGTTAACTGGTTGAGGTATTATTTATTTGACAGAGAGAGGGAGCAGCAGAGGGAGGAGAGGCAGACTCCCCACCGAGCAGGGAGCAACACAGGCTCCATCCCAGGACGCTGTGATCAGGACCGGAGCTGAAGGCAGACGCTTAACCTCCTGAGCCACCCACGTGCCCCTGGTTGAGGTATTCAAGTTCTGGAGATGTAACAGTAGAGCGAAATTAATACTTTCTCTGGAAGTTAGGCTATTATTTGTTTCTATTCTCCAAATTAATTAAATTAATTAAGCGCTCACCATCATGATTTAACAATACTTTATATGGTGGCTCTTTCTTTCACCTGGGCATACAGAAGCTCCAGGCAAGGGGAAAAGGTGCAAACGGCACCTGCTCTCCTCGGTTCATTGCCTCGTCTGTCTTTTCTCAGCCTTCTGATGAAATGCCACCTTCCAGAGGTCTTCCTTGACCCTGCTATCAAAATTTATAGCGTACCTCCCCCCTATTCTTTGCCTCAGTCCTGTTTCCTTCCCAGCACTGACCACAATCTGTAATTGTTCCAATTATTTACTTGCTTACATACATAGTGTCCCCCTCACTAGACATAAACTCTATGAGGTCAAGAATTAGGTTGTTTTGTTCATGGTTCTACTCCCAGCGCCTGGCACAGTAGGTGTTGCAAAAGCATTTGTAGGATTCACTATCCTTCCCAACTGGGATTTTCTTAATGATCTCAAAATAAATGATAATAAAGGGTCCTGGAGGACCATTTCTTGGTCTCCTCTCTCTCAGTCAAATAAAAAATGGAGCATTACAAATCTGCAAAAGTGCTCAATGCCATTGCAATGTGCACAGAAGAGGATCCACCACGGCCGGGTCGGTGACAACAGTCCTCTGAGCCTTTGAGAATACACAGGACTGCATTTATCATCGTGGCTGGATAGGTTCATATATCAACACCTACACTACTAACCGGTTGTGCCCTTTCAGCTAGAAGAAGCAATTTTACATACTCTCTTAAAGATCAAGCAATTTTTTTCTTTGGCTTAATCATTTCACTATCTCCTTAATTTCTCAAACTTGGATATATTACACTAAAATGTACGACATGAGAACAGGTCAGCAAAACTATGTCCTGGTTATATACTGCCTCATAGTAAAATGTTTCTAAAGCAGAAAAACAAAATATCTAAAGGAGATCTGACTGCAAATTTAATTCATCTTCCAACTCTCTCTCTAGAGCAAACAAATAGAATGAAAAAGCATTTGGGAACAGTGTTTTTATCACCAAATTTATTTGTGAGAATACAGCCCAGGTTTAAGCTAGCCGAAAGGCGAGCCTTCAGGCTTCCATCAAACATGCTACGCCTCCAATGAAACACCCATAACCAAGTGAGAAAGAAAATCCCAAAAAGAAATTCCATGTCAATTACATAAACATGCTTTATTTTTGGGTCTTTTCCCACAGTTAATAGGACCAGCTATCTGAAGACTAAAGGAAATCTAACCCTTTAACCAAACTCAGAATTCTACTAAGATGGGGCATCAGTTTTCTGGAATTAAGCCATTTTCAGTGCTGCTATAATACATGGAGAACAGCCAGTTATTTTGGAAAATTGACCCTCCCCATACGAAAACGGTTAAATGACACTGCCCCTTCCAATCTGATGAGCAATTTCAAGATTTAGATCTCCCACTACACGTATCTGTATCAGTGGAAGGCAGCGTGACATACTAAACTTGAGCTTTGAAGTTGTCCTGGATGCAAACCTCTTCTCTGCCACTTAAGTGGCTGTGCAACTACGGGTAGGTTGCCTAATGACTCCTGCCTTGGTTTCCCCATCTTTAACAAAGGTACCACAAGAGCACTCATTCCATGAGGTTGCTGGGAGGACTGAATAAGTCATAATTACGTACCAAGTAACAAATACTTGCAAATTGGGCATCGTTATCACAGATTAAAAAGGTCAGAGGCTCTTACCGCGTATCTCCTGTACCAGGCGGCTATGACGATTTGGCTTTTTCTCATTAGCAGGAAATGTGTGCGGCATTTCCACCCCCGATAAATCTTCTGGATGAGAGTGGCCAAGTCCTCAAGACGCTGCTTCCTCAAGTCCTCTAGTTTGAATAACTAGAAGTAAGAAACAATAGGTAGATTTGTCCGATCTACAAAACCTTATGACATGCATGAAAGACATCCCCAGGAGGAAAAATGTAATGACGTTGGAGTCAACCACATGGAGACAAAAATGAACAACTGCCTTAATTCTAGATGACACGGATAATAGCCCATGAGAAGATTATTTTGATGAATTCATACACGATCCACTGTTTACACTACGGTGCTGTAGACTTCATGACAAATCAGAGAAGGGCTGAGCTGGAAGCTCAGATTTACCTTCACACTATCCATGAGAATGTGACTATTAAGGGCAGAGAGATGTTGATAACGTTTCTGTTTTGAACAAGTCAAACATTTTCCAGATTCTCCAAATTTCCAGATTACTAAAAACACTGCTGTGTTGATTATACTTTGTGTTAGCCTGTGTTCATTGATAAAAAAAAAATGTTCCCTTGGAGTTCCTCAGTAGAATTTTAAGTGTCCTTTTCACCTTAAAAATTTTTTTAATGACAATGCTTTCATGTACCTCAAAATAATAGGGTTTGTCTTTCCTAAAATTATTACATAACTCAGATATTGTCAATACAGACTGAATTTACCTCCAATTCCTATGAATTAGGGAGGTTTTATTGTAGTAACAGCTCCTCTCTGACTTAATAAGTGCCGTACGTCTATTGGTTCAAAGATTTTGATGTCTCATAAAAAATATACATGTTCTATGGCCTGCCCCCTACTCCCCCATCCTCTTGGACATCTGCAGAAGAAACAAGAATGTAGCAGTCCTGGCAGCATCTTGGGCAACGTCCTGAAGTTAAAAATCCTTTAAGGACTTGCCTATATGATGATAGCCTAAGTTCAGAGCGTAAAGGTTTTGGTTGACATACTGTTCTCGGGTTCCGGATGAATATCTTTGATCGACCAAAGGAGTACTCTTCCACAGGAATCTCTAATTCATTAAACAGAACCTCCACGCCAGCCCTATTAAAATAAATAACAACAGTGAGTTTTCTGAGTTACAAAAAGAGATGCTATCTCCTCTTAAATCATGGTATCAAGTTCTCAGCAGTTAAAAAAAGAAATAGCTTTATTTCCAAGTATAATTGGTCTCTCAGCAAGCAGCCTTTTGTCAAGGAATTTTCAGACTGAACTCCACAAATTAAACCAAATCCAGGGACGGTAAAAGAGTAAATTGGGGTTCAGAACTATGCAGTCTAAGAAGATACAGTATTAAAACCAGTATCTTGATTTCATTAGTGGAGGCAATCTTTGTATCAAATATACCTGTAACAAAGTACCGACCAGAACCAGGAGGGTGTAGAAGAAATTCATACCTGTTTTGAACCCACTCAGTTAATTATTTTTTTTTTAAAGATTTATTCATTTATTCATGAGAGATACAACTGAGAGAGGGAGAGGTGGAGACACAGGCAGAGGGAGAAGCAGGCTCCTTGCAGGGAGCCCAACGTGGAACTCGATCCCAGATCCCAGGATCGGGGCATGACCTGACCTATCAAATGTGATCAATGAATTTCTTACCTCGCTGGTCCTTTCCAATGAGGCCATGTTTGCTTACAAAGCATCTTGTATCTTTCTAGGCAAGGTTCATAGGCCTGCCTGAAGGCGTAGCCTGCCCTCCTCACTCGGACATTCTCCAGAAGACCCAGGTACCTGATCTGATGACATACTAGAGCCTCGTTGAAGATGTGTGCTGCTTTTTTGTCATTTGGTTTGATGCACCTAAAAGATTACAAAGATTTTAGGTTTCAAACTCTGTCTCATATGGATATATCTGTGTTGTACAGAGTGTATAGTACCTAACTATTCTGTGCGGAGATAATTATTTATTATTCTTGGGAAACCCAGTCATTTCTTTTGAAATTATTTAAAATCATTTTATAGAAACTCAAAAATGAATATGACATACATGTCAGTTAAAAAAGAACAAACTAATACATACAATAACATGGGTAAATATCGCTGAAATTTTGTTGATTGAAATAAGTTTGACAAAAAGAGTATGTTTTTTTTTTTATTCCATTTATATGAAGTTCAAGAAAAACCTATGGTGAGAAATCAGTATTACTGTTATCTCTGGGGAGAGGTAAGGGGGCAGATGACAGAGAAGGGGCACAAGGGAACCTTCTAGGATGGTGGGAATGTTTTAGATCTTAGTCTGGATGGTGTTGCACAGGTGGATCCATATGTAAAAGTTCAACAAGTTGTACCATTAAGATTCACACACTTTACTATATTGTATGTATACTGTGTACCTCAATGAAACTATTAAAAACACTACTGTCTCCCTAAAACCCTATAAATCCCTCCTTTTTAGCAGAGCATGTTGCTGCCCTAAGAAAGACTACATTTCACAGCCTCCTTGGCAAGTAGGTGTGGTCATGTGATCAAAAGTCTGGCCACTAGGATCACAGGAGAATTAATATAGGACACTAATGAGTGTGTCCCTAAAAGGAAAGGACTTGCACACCCCTTGTTCTTCTCCTGCTAACGGCTGGCTGAGAAGCCATCTTTGACAATATGGAGGAGGGAAACACCCTGGGAACCACAGAGCCACAAAATAGAAGATGTTGGATCAGCCCTGAAGCCCTTATACTCAGTGGTTACCTAAGAAATAAATAACAGTCTTGTTTAAGTCATTGTCATGTCTGGATCTTAAGGACGCGATCTCTGTATCTTAATACACTGTTCAGCATTTATGGTTTTATCTGCCCAGCTACACATGCTAAATAAATTCTGCACACATTATATAATATGTGAACAACTAAATCTTACCTAGTTTGACTTTGATATTTTTATGCTTCTCCTTATACATTTATAAAAATAATGTCCACCCTTTGGCTTAAAAATAGACAACCAGATCAGTGGAACAGAATAGTGAGTTTAGACCTAGACTCTTATATAGGTTTTCGATTGATTTTTCAATAAAGGCATCAAGTAATTTTTTTCTTTTCAATATATGGTGCTAGAGCAACACAGTAGCTATATTGACTTTAATATGAAATCTGAAACTACATAAAAGACTCTAGAAAAAAATATAATATATTCACAAGCTTATAGTTTACTAAGACTTCTTAGAGGTACATTAAGGCCACTAAAAGGGAAAGGGAAAAAAAGGGGCAAAAAATAAAAAAATAAAAAAAATAAAAGGTAAGGGGGATGAAGGAACATTCTAGGGTGATAGAATGTTCCATATGTTGACCAAGGTGGTGGTTGACAAAGTATATACAATGGTGAAAAAAATAACTGAGCTGTTCACCTAGGATCTGTGTATATCACTTCATGTAAATTATTATTAAGTAATAATTTTTAAAAATCCACTTAGTTGAGAATAACAAAAGCAACTGACACAGAAAGTTTCCTGTTTTTTAAAATTAGGATCTTTACCTACTATATGTTTCAACCTGATTATGTCAAACCAGGGGATTCTGACTCTATTTATTATTAATATAAATATTAGGTACACAAACCAACACAAAAATGTTCTTCACTCCAGGTTCCTCACAACTGCATTTTTAAAAACAGTTATGGGAAGGGATGTGTGGGTGTGTGTACGCTACACGAAAGAAAACTGACCTGTTAGGCACACATCTCCCATTATCTAACTCACCAAATACACACATTGAAAACTCTAATCCTAATTGGCCTTCACTGAATCTTGAGATCTAAGGTGTCCTGGAAACAGGAAAAAGAAAAAGACCAGATGCTCCTTAAGGAATTCTTTCTGTTGCTTTGAAAACTTTAAGATTGTTCTGGGAGTCATTCCTTTCTCCAAATCTATAAGTCTCATAGGAAAGAAAGACATACTTTCGAACACCAAATTTGTAACTAAAGCCCAACTTGCTTTAATGCTGCGCTGTAAGTTAATGTAACAAGAATCCAAAGTGAATCCAATAAAAGAGTTTTATGCAAAACCTTTACCAGAAAAAAGCTTACATTTCTAAAATGTCATGAAACCAAAAAAAGATATAAAAAGTGAAAAACCTTATGTGCCAACAATGCAATTTCATTAAGTATCTATTCCTATCCCCTACCAGGCTTTTTCTTTTCTCCCCCCACCACCACCCCCCTCCCCGCCGCCTGCCCCCGACTTTTTAAAAGTCTTTGCTTGAAGGGGTAGAAGGGTTACTGGAGTAATTTTTAAGCAAACCCAAGATACCACATTACTCGAAGGGCAAGAACTTCAGTTATCCTCTGGGGGGATGGTATTCGGATTTAAGCAAACAGGAAAATGATCTTCCTTGAAAGTGCCTTCCTAATGAACCTGTCAAAGAGTTTCATGTGCAGAGATACCTAATGTAGTTCGGATTCTTGGTCTGGAGGTTTTTCATCAGTGTGGCCACAGACGCCTTAAACTGTGAGCCTGCTGTAGGAGGCCTTTTCAGGTTGATCTTGGCAGGGTTCCCTTCAGGGAACAAAGACTTGATGAGGGTGTGGCTGGCCTTCCACATGGCTTGGGACAGGTCTCGGTAGAGAAGATCATTGTTCTTGTCAACAAATCCTTCTACCTGGTACAGCACCTATGAGCAGTACAAGAAATTCAACTGCTGATTACTGCACTCCAGGATGCCACACAACTGTTAAAAATATTCCAAGACTATCTATAATGCAGCCTCTTCTTTCTCCATCGAAAACCCCCAGGCACATTAGTCACACTCCTAATACCGAATTAGCCTCCAAGTTTAAATTCCATCTGTCTAAATCACAGAAGAGTTCAAAATAAATTCTATTACGCTTCAGGATTTGCAAGAATAAACTCCAAAAATGCTATCATAACATTTTCAAAGGATTTTAGGCTTTTTTGGTGTTTGAGCACATTTTTGAGGTTTTACTTTTCCTCCTCTTCTTTTTTTTTTAGTTCACATGTGCCAATTCTAGTCTGTTTGAAAATAGACAGGAGAAAACAGAGATAAAAACCCTGGTGTTTTCAGACAGCCTAAGTGTGCAGGGAAATTAACCAGAAAAGTATCTTTTAATAACACAAGCTAACAAACAAAAAATGAAGTACCAAGTTCCAACTTTTAAAAATTAACAGTAAATCGGATACTACATACTTAATTTTTACTAAATATATAATTACAAATGTTTTCGTCTTTGAAGCCTGCAACCTTATGTAGAAGGAGATATTAACATCCATACTCTTTCAGGACTCTAAAAATTAAGCTACTGTCAAAATTGGTTTTTAACATTATATATCTTAGATGGCATAAAACTAATTCTCTCAAATATTAGGTAAAGGAGTAAGCACTTTTTTTTTTCAAAAAAGTAGCTATTTTCCCACTGTTGTTTCAAAATCTCAATCTAGGAATTCATTATTTTTGCTAAATGATCTGTGGTTGTCAAACCTCACTATCAGTCTGTAGTGACACCTAATTTTTACTAGCAAACCTTTTATTCATGTTGACAGATCTATTTTTATAGGGTAACTTCTAGCTTGGAAACAATACAATCGATTTTTAAAATATACTCGAGCTCTTTCATTAAGTCCACTGGCTTTCCTTTCAGCTGTTAAGATTGTGTTCAACTGACATGATCCAAATTTTTTTTTTAAAAGATTTTATTTATTTATTCATGAGAGACACAGAGAGAGAGAGAGGCAGAGGCACAGGCAGAGGGAGAAGCAGGCTCCATGCAGGGAGCCCAACATGGGACTCGATCCCAGGACCCCAGGGTCACGCCCTGGGACGAAGGCAGGCGTACAACCACTGAGCCCCCCAGGCGTCCCATGATCCAGATTCTACTTCTATTGAACATTTACTGATTCTACGAGTTTGGCAACTCATCCTCCCAAGCTGGCGCTGGTCAGAAGGCCCCCTCTGAGGCCTGGGCTCCTTGCAGGAACAACTGCAGGCCCACTGGGTGCTGGAGCCTCCTCCCCATACCTTGCCAGCATAGTGCTGAATTCTGAAGCAGCTGTGAGGCAGGGACGTGTCGTTGAGAAACCTGGAGCTCTTGCTCATCCTGCTTTCAAAGTGTTGGTGGGTGGCGCACACTTGGTTGAGCTTCTCCAAGAAGGTCTCGTCGGTGACCGTGCCAGGTCTCAGGCATTCCTCGTCCAGCATGGCCAGGATTCCGTTTGTGTTCTGCGAGAAGGGAAGCAAAAAGGTTTCCTTCCTTCCTCACTGTATTGTTTAAATAATTATTCCTAATTACACCGTCAAAGACAATTAACTTAGTCACAGAAAATTCCGCTCTGTTATAACAAAAAGCGGGGAATCAAAACAAGTCACAAAAGCCACAGAAGTCGGCCCCTTTCCACAACGTGCCAGGTGTGTGCCCATGCTGGGGAGGAGAGGTCTCTATCATCTCCCTCCCCACCTTGCCTGCCTCCTCCCTCCCCCCCACCCCAAAAAGACTTAGGAGTCACCTCAGTGACCTCAGGGGGCTGATGACTGAAATTCACCTTGTTGGAAAAAGGCAAGTCAGACCTCATATTCAAAACACATTCAAAGGTAAATCTAAACATCAGAAACTAAATTTGACAATGCAGTTTCTACATGTGGCCATAAATCACAAAGCACAGTCTTCTAAGGCTATTATTTGATTCATAGCTTGAGAAGGAAATTGGTTTCAGATGTTTCCAAATTGTTCATGTGCTCAAAATGCCGTTTATTTTCCAGGAAAAAAAAAAAAAAAGAAAAAAGCTGTGATTTGGGATCGATGCAATCAAGCTGTATTTCAAGAATATCTGTTTAGAATAAAATTCTTCCACATAAAATTTCAAAATGGATGTTGAACACGAGTGAGAATGTGTTGTGTATTCAGACCCCATGATCACATTTATCCCAAGAACAGTCAGCCCAGTGACACTGAATCAAAAATCTGGAATCTTCTACTTTGCTAAATAAAGGCTGCTGCTCCTTAGATTGCCCCTCTGGGCCCATATGTCTCTATTCCAAATACAACAATCCGGTCTACTGACCACCAGCCCCACCTACTTCCACCAGCCACAGCTCCCGGTTCCTCTCCCCTTCTCCTCGCAAGGCCGAGACATCCTCTGACCAGCATTTGCTCATTCCGCACAAAACCCAGGGGAAGTGTGAACTGTCAGGCATCAAGTGTGTTCACAACAGCCCCAGAGTAAACATTATTGTTAGGTAACGCTGGAAGGAAACATTTCCTTTACGGACCCAGCCTCCTACGTGAACTCGAGTTACTTCGATCACATAGGCAAGGCGATTTGGGGCTGAGACAATCTACTTAAATGAAGTATATTATCATGGTTCTCTCCGTCTCTGTCTCTTTCCCTTTCTTCTCAAAGGGAAATAATTAAGTTCAATGTTCTATTTAGAGGAAGGAAAATGTGCTAGTCATGACTTCTGAAAGTTTAAGTTCTCACAGCAAATTACTTTGGTCACAAGATTTACGAGGAAAAGATTTTCAGTAAATTCACAGATTTCTCTGGATATTAGAGTTTTGAGTTATTTAGGCAGAATGTGAGCATTTGTATCCCAACATTCAAATATTTCAATATTTATATATTATAAATATTATATTTATAACAATATATATTATTAATATATAGTATTATATAATATATTATAGTTATTATATAATTATGTAATATAATTATATATTAATATATAATATATATTATAAATATTATATATTATATTGTATTATATTATAATATATTTCTCAATTTATTAAGAGAAAACCAGTCATCCTTCAGAGTATTCATCAATGTGCAACTGTCAGGAATATCTTCAAAGCTGAGGGAAGAGATGCACTGGCTCGTTACATAATTTCCAAAAGGTCTTGTTAAAGATAAACAGAAAGTGACCTGCCTGACATTTAGGGCCCATGAGTCTATTCCAGCACTCACCTACTGCTGACAGCTAAAAGGACTGTAGGACAATAAAGTGTACGCATGGTTTCAAATTAACTTTCACTAACTTTGTTATCAGGGCCAAGAATGTGAGTAATCTTAAGCATAAAACAAGAGTTTCCAGATTTTCACATACAAATCAATCTTCTTGCAATCAATTCATTTATAATCAACTACAGACTACAGATGTAAAAAACAAAGTATTTAGTGACCTTTTGGAATCTAAGATTTATCTAGTAATTTTGGATACTTTATGCCTTTTTACATATATACAGACACGTGTGGTCACCTGAAAGTTCCCATGGACCTTGGCCACCTTCAAAGTCACAGATACACACGATACCCACAACGTAGGTTCTCCAAACCAAGGCTATGTCTACACTGGAGCCATTCCCGGGGACCTACTTAGCTCAGCTCCCATGACTCTCCCTTTATCCTCCTTTATCTTAACTCGAAGAACATATCTTTTGTTATCTTAACTTGAAGAACATGTAACTTAAGGAGCATGTTTGTTGTTCTTTAGCATTTAAAGAATGTTTTCCAGCTTTACTGAGATACGACTGACACATTAACACTATGGAATTTTAAGGTATACAAGGTGATAATTTGATACACTTTTAAAAATTGCAAAATGATTACCACCATAGCCTTAGCTAACACCTCCATCACGTCACATAGTTACCATTTCGTTTTTGTTGATGAGAACACTTAAGACCTACTCTCCTATTTTCAAAGATATAATAATAATATGGCATCGTTAGCTGTAATCACCATGCTATCCTTAGATTTCTAGAACTCCTTCATCTTGAGACTACAAGTCTGTACCTTTTGATTGACATCTCCCTATGTCCCCCAACCCAAGCCCCCACAAACCACTATTCTATTCTGCTTCTTTAGCTTTTTCAGATTCTACATATGTGATATCACGCACATTTGTCTTTCTCTGCCTAACTTATTTCACGTAGTGTAATGGCCTTGAGGTCCATCTGTTTTGCCACAAATGGCAGGATTTCCTTCTTTCTCATGGCTGAATAATATCCCATTGTATATACACACCTCATCTTTATCCATTCATCTATAGAAGGACACTTAGGTTGTTTCCACATCTTGGCTATTGTGAATAAATGCTGCAATTAACATGAGGGTAAAGACAGCTGTTCGAGATCCTGATTCTGTTTCCTCTGCATGCATGTATATATATATATATACCCAGAAGTGGAAATGCTGGATCACATAATAGTTCTATTTTTAATTTCTTGAGGAATCTCCATACTATTTCTATTATGGCTGCACTAGTTTACACTCCCAGCAACAGTGTACTGAGAGACTCCCTTTTTCCCCACATCCTCACCAATATTTCTATTTTTTATAATAACCACTGAACAGTGTATTAAGAGGTTCCCGGAATTTTAGAAACAAAATGGATATTTGATTTGACAAAAACCTTGTTTCTGAGCCTCCTCTGACCAGGTCTCATATTCCCAGGAGCTGTGGACTAGACCTGGGCTCCCAGCACACAGCAGGAATGGTGTGGCTAAGGGCATGACATCTCAACATCATGAATGGGCTCTGCGATACGGCCGCAGGATGAGCATAGAAAACCCTAGCCAAGTGTCACAATGTCCAGCTGTCTATGTGTGTGTTCAAGAACCTATGGCTATAATATAGTGTCTCCAGAACTCTGCAGTTCTCTAAAGAAAAGTGTCAAAGGAGTGAAAATGCTAACGCTTAACAAAGAAGGCAGGAGTGAATGACTGGTAAGGAGTGAATGATTACTAAGAAATTTTTTAGGAAATTGTACCTAATACTCACATTTTCTATTAGGTCACAAATGATAGCATTATTGAAATAGTCAATGTGTGTCCATTCTATGCCCTGAGAAACAAAAGAGAACAAAGTCAGATTCCTCATGACTATGCCACACGCAACCATCTATCAATGACGACTGTGCCATCTTGCTATGTTTCACTTCCCCTCTGAGTGTATTTTTTTTTATAAAAAATCAGTGCTGCCAATGCCATCTTCCGGTTCCCAAAACTTTCTTGACTTCGGGAGTCACCACTGACACGATGTGACCAAAGTGAACGCCCTTTAGAGACTGCCTCCCATTCCACTCTCCCGTCTGTGGCAATTTCCCATGCACTTCATTGGCTCTGCGCCAAACATTTACTCAACAGGCCCTTGGGTCAATATTACTTTGTGTATATTTACAATGTTTATAAGGAAATAAGTCAGAACTTGATCCCAGGAATCTAAGGCCCACATTTTTCTGTTCTTAATTTGTAATCACAAGGAAAAAATTAATTTTAGAGTCAATCCTCTGTTGTAGGGCAGTTGACTACTTCAAATGTAAAAATATGCACTGCTAAGACAGAGTATTTTCAACATAAGACACAAAAATCGTTACAAAGCCGAATCTGGGAGGCTAAATGTCATCTCTGGATCTGCTTACTCTTTGCCTATAAGTGTAAACATCCATTTTTCTTCTAAGAGGAAGAAATTTAACTCATACAGCAAGCTGGGGATCATCCTATATATTCTTAGACGTGTTCAAACAATCTGTACAAACTGTTTTAAATTATAGATCAAAGTTCGGGCAATCTCTTTATGATGTGAAGACAGGAAGAGAATGAATCTGGCTCTTAGGATGTTTACATTAAAAAAGGTGCCAGCCAGGATAAAATGTTTCTAAGGCATGACGATCATTCTAAAAAAAAGATGAAATATTTATGATTTAGCTTTTGAGTACATGGGTTATTTTACAAAGACTCTGGGGTTAACAATCACATTAGAAAAATCTGTACTGAAAAAAAAGGAAAAGAAAAAAAAGGAAAATTCTGTACTGAGGAAAAAAAAAAAGGATTCTTAATGTGTCCTTAATGATTTACAGTAACACTACAGAAAATGAAGAAAAATAGGTAATACCATTATTAAAATACAAAGCAAATAGAAAAATTAAATATAATAATTCCTTTTGTTTGAAATAATTTTATAGTTCAAAAACATTATTCAAAAAATGAAAGGCTGAAAACCACACATGGCTTTACAATTAAGTATGAAACTTTGTAAACATCACTTCTGATTATTTTCAAATTATATTGAGATAATCCATACATAGCACTAGTACAATACCTGGCAAGACAGTAAACACTCAGCAAATATTAATTACCTGTTTTCATTATAAAATTTTAGAAAAATCAATGCCTTTCAAGATTGAACAAAGTCTCAAAATATTTTCAAATTCATAGAGAGTAGTACTGATGCTCAACTAACTGAGCCACCCAGCTGCCCTTCAGGTTTTTTTTTTTTTTTAACAAACTGTTATTTTACATCATTGCATTACAATCCACTAAGGATCAAGCCAGTCAACTGATATTTACTGAGCCCCTACGATGTGCCAGGCACTGTTCTAGGCACTAGCAGCAGAACAGCGAAAATACTCCCAGTAAGCTTAGATGTCATAACAAACAACTTTTAAAAAGACACAATATGGCAAAACTTAGATAAATTTGATTTTAGGATCACATTTATATAGACTTGTGAATCCACAATTTGTATGATGAGTAAAAAATGAGCCCTTAAAAAAATACATTTCAACATTACCTCCCGTATATATTCCTCTTGCTCTTCTTTGAGGGTAAGTTCAATGAAGATTTGCTGTAGCTTTTCATTACAATAATTAATAATGAACTGCTCAAAGCTGTTGTCCTACATGGAAAAAAATGAAGACAGCCTTATAAAACCAAGCCATTGGCTCTCCCGCAGCAGTGGCGCTCCAACATCTCAAACCACAAGAAACACGTCACACACTGTCTCGCAGATTTAATTGTGGCCCAGCACGGCTCCTGGGACACCGAGGCCCAGCACACAGAGCTTGCACACTGCAGGCACTTGAGAAATGGCTCATGAGTCAAGTGGATGAATGAAGTGTACACAAGTTATACAGTATTTTGAAAGATGAAGTTTTTTAGCTGACGGAAGAGCACCGCACACATGGTAAAACAAAATAAAAAATAAAAAGGTTCCCCTAAAGGATCAGAAAAGAAACCGTGAGATTTATAATCTCTAGTCACCCAAGTTCTCAGTCGGCCATTCATCGGGTGAAACTCTGCAGCTCCAGAAAGTCTTCTTGACCTGACCTCTTGTTCCCCCATCCATGGTCAACTCCCTCATTCTGACTCTTAGATACCAGCACTTCCTAAAAACCACGCTGTGTGTACATGTGTGGGCATATACATGAGTGGTGACTTGGTTTCAGCCCTGTCTGTCCCACTAGATGGGCAAGGGCTGACCAAGTGTCTCTTTGTTCACCAAGGGAAGCCCATGCCTTGCACAGCCCTTTGCATCTAGAAAGTTCTTCATATGTACTTGATGAATGAATGAGCTAAGTGCCTAAAAAAGAGGCTCAAGGGAATCAGCACATCAAAATCATTTCCCAAGCAAGAAACTCTCTTCTCAGAAGGCTCCAGTATTTATCTCTCGCATGGTTGTCAGAGGCCTCTCTTTCATATTATGAACTCTGGTGGAAGATCCAAGCCTAAGTCAGCCCCAGACAATCTACAAGGTTTAATGTATTGCCACGTATACTGAGGGCACGAAATGCACGTCTGTGGAATGGATACACTTCACCTCTAAGAACCACGCCAGCCAAGGAGACGTAGATCTGATAGTGAGACGTGTTATTTTCACCTCTACCATCTGCCTTTGCAGAGAGGAGACAATGGCCATGGGAGCGAGGGACAGTACGACCCCACCATTGACAAATCTGACTCCTCTCATACTGAGGTGGCTAGTCCTGGCCTAATAATAATATTAATATTACGATATTAATACGTAATACAAGTGTCCCAGCGTGAAACCGAAACTCGCCACTTCTTGGGAATACACAGAGCCCCGGGCCCTCAAACCTCTCTGTAAATGACGAAAGCAAAAAAGTCATAGAGCTTTTCAAAAGTTGAACTTTCAAAATCAACTTTGCTCCTACGTAGGACAAATTTTATTTATTTATTTATTTATTTATTTATTTATTTATTTATTTATTTATTTATGAGAGACACAGAGAGAGACAGAGACTCAGGTAGAGGGAGAAGCAGGCTCCCTGCAGGGAGCCCGATGTGAAACTCGATCCCAGGACCCCGGGGTCACGACCTGAGCCAAGGGCAGACGCTCAACCGCTGAGCCACCCGGGCGTCCCCATAAGACAAATTTTAAAATGAGACTTATGATGCAGCAGCTGACTACATTCTTTCCTGGAAGCCAGTTAATGGTTTCCTATCACCAGTGATAAACTCATTATCAGGGAGAATTTTTAACACTAAACCATAAATGACACCTACACATGATCACTGGCTAATCTTTTAATGTCAAGTCTGGTCAAGGAGAAGAGGTTTTTGTTTTTTTGTTTTTTAATCATGAAGGTTTTTCCTAAAGGGAATACATTTACTTTCAATACTTTGAACAAACTCGGTCTTAGACACAAAGGGCATCCCCAGTACTCATTTTCACATGAAGTTTTAAAAGCCAATGTGCTCCAATCTTTGGAGCTTAACAATTTTGATTAGAAGCTGACGTCAATCTGGTCCAGGCACCTTATTATGATTATGATCAGGATAAGGCCATTTCTCTACGAGGAAGTCTGGGTTTCTTTGTTTGGTAAAATATATCCTTATATAATAATACTACTACCCCAGATTGAAAACTAATAAACAAAATTATAAACAAAAGTTTTGTTTTGTTTATAATAAAGAAAAGTTTTAATGGTTTATTGAATGGTTAAAATCCGTTCTGTCATTTAATAAGTCTATGGTCATGGAAGTATTTAAATGAAATTATGCTAAATCTTCAAATGGTAACTAATGAGGAGAAACAGGAGGAGAATAACTAGTGTCCTTACACATGTTTCACGGCTATGAACAGTTGGAGGTACGCTTTGCAACAGGACCATGAAATACAAACAAGCAGGTTAGAAATCAGAGGCAAAGCTTCACAATTGCAACACAATTTAACGATTAAGTTAGAACTAAACTAGGTTTATCCTCAAGATTTAAAAATTCCTGTATGAATCCTCTATTTCATATCCGCACACAGTTAATCGATGGCCATTTACTGCAAAATCCACACAGTTGGAGAAGCCATTAACACAGGGGCATGCAACAAGTTGTCACCGCAAACAGTTCATACTTACTGCATTCTGGTGCAAAAAGGGACAGATTACACAAAATGCAGTCAGTTCTTCATTTGCAATAAACTTCTAAAAGTAAACACTTATTGATAGTTATTCATTGGCACAAATGACGGACTTGATTTTACCATTTAGACTATGTTTCTGATTAGCCCAAAACTTGAAATCAAGACACATGTCCAATCAGTTCAAAAAACAGCCCCCCCAATACCTACATGTGGTCACGTGGTGTCTGAACTGCGGTTCTGCTAGGTGTGAGCTACACAGGACAAAAACAGTCGGACTCAAATAATACCGCATATAACTTGCTCAAGGTCCCAAGGCTTTGAGGTCTAATGCTTCTAATTCAAAATTATCAGGAGAAATAAAATGTGTATGTATGACACATCCCCCCCAAAGAGTCAGAGACAGAGGCAATTGGCAGGTCAGGGAAAGAGCGAAGAGATCCAGCAAGATCCAAGGGCCCCTCCTCTTTCTCAGCACAGCAACACACCCCATGCTGTCCCTGCTAGGTCTCCACTTCGAAAGATCAACAATGTGGTAAGGAGAGAGCATTCTGGAGATGGCATAAGAAAAAACTGGTCTCTCCTACCTCATCCTGCTTCTAAAGAACAACAACAAAAGCGAATAGCACAATCCTCAAGGCAGAAACCACTTGCCTCCCCTCAGAACTATCTCAGCATCTACTGCAAACACACCTTACAGGTTGTAAAACCTGTTATGAATCGCCAGAGCAATCACTTATTGCCAAAAATGAAGGCAATCCCATTTCTCATGATCTACGTTTAACTTGTTGACATCGTCCTCATGTTTTGGGAAACGGGACTTCACAAATCATTAAAAATAACATACAAAAACTTACAATCGTGAAAAATGAAGGAATAGCCTGGTAACAGTTCGTATAGAGGCAACTTGCATTGGGTCCAGAATACGCCTTTGTGTACGCAGGCACTAAGTATCACTGGGGTTTCCAACTGGGACATTCTCCCTTTTAGAAAGCAGCTGAACCGGGTCTAGGAGCTATCATATGAATTAAAGTCCCCAAAGCAATTTGATATTTGGATACTTCTGAGTCAAGAACTGTGGGTAGCCAGCTATCCCTGAGCTGGGCGCTGTCTCCCACGTGTCAGTCTCATGAATCAGTCTCCTAAGGAGGAAGTGGGCAGGAGCTTGAATGACTCATGCCCCCACTCTCTCTCCAGTGTTCTACCCAAGTCCCATACATGGAATGTGTCTCTATTGTCTAACTCACATTTATCCCTAAAGGCTGAGGGATAAAGCTAAAACCTTGGGGAACATTTTCGAACAAGTGTATCTAGAATTTTCCATCCTATAATCTCCTTGCAGGAAGCCAAGAACCATCCCCACCCCCACCAGACTGTTCCAGGGAAAAAAGGTACACAGCAAGGTGTCCAGGTTCTATGCAGTTTTACACTGTATCCACCAAGTGTAGAATGGGGTGGGAAGAACTTAATAGGTTTAGAAGTATGTAATATACCAAACCTTCAAAATCTAGGGCTTCTTTCCAGAAGTTCTGAGTTTGAGTCCATCTTGTCAACATCAAAGAAACAGAAAACCATACTCCCAGTGAGGTTGACAACTAGTTTGTACTCTTTAAGTATCAACTACGAACTTTCCACCTGGAAGGATTTTGAAAGATGGGTCAAAAATACTAGCCTGTCCCTAATTTATCTGTATTTTCTCAGCAGTAGGGGAGGCTAATGATACCTTATGCTCTTTAAGAGAGGTGGATATTTAAATCTTGCACTCTTTTAATGCATGACATTTTTCTTCCCAGTACATATTCAAATACGGTAAATTTAAAGAAAAATCGCTTTATAGTGCTCTTCTTAAATAATTTAAAATGAGCTTTGATTTAAATAGTTAAAAAGAGTAACGATGTACAGATACATATCATGAACCATATTATTTCTCATCATTCCCATTCTAAAATGTACGTTAAAAACACTCCTTCCTCTTCAAGTTTTCTAGCACATGAAGAACAGAATTAAAAGAAAACAGCTGGGACAGAAGGTATTGCCTACAACCGGAATCAATTTCCGTTTAAAAACAATTTGGAAAAGAAATCTCATAATCACGAGACAGACTTACAGGCTACATGGGGTCTTGATCGCCTAGTAGGTTATTTTATTTAGAACAATTATTGCATCCAGCCTATCATATTCCTACTGTATATGGGTCACTTTCCATGAGGGCCATAAGGGCAAGATGAATAAAGGGTGCCTGATTCAAAAAAACTAGTCCTTTGCCTTATGAAACTAAATTGTATGAAAAGTGAAATATCCAGCCTGCCGTTCTGCTTTGGTCCTCAGCACACTAACAACGGGTTAGATTTTCCCAGTAAACCACCTGCCATTTTTAGTACTTCTCAGGTAAGCACTTAGAAAAAAGCTGAATCAATTTAGATGGCTCAACTTAGTTTTGAATTTAATTTTTTCATTTGTTATTTTACGGTGATGCTATAAATGTTTCTCAGAGATCAGTTCTAAGAACATCCAAACTTAATTGTGTGGACCTGGGAATGTCTGCATTATATAACTGTCTCCCTTGGCAAAACTGGACTCCTGTTAAATGAGGATTTATAGTTAGATTTTTCTTCTCTAGGACTTTTAACTCACTTCCTCTTAGTTTTGGTATCAGTGTTTCACTAATCTGTTTTCCAAACAGACATCCGATCACATGCGGCCAGCAAGGCAGGACTATTCACACAGCTGGCCCTGGAATGCTTTGCAGTCAAATCCATGTGTCATCATCCCATGGTTTAATGCATCAGTTTCCCTCTTCCATTTAGAGACGGACCGAAATGAGTGAAAGGTTTCCGTCAGCTCAGCTGAAACACGTTTTCATGGGAACTGGCAATGGGGGGGTCATGAGGCTGAATTAGAAACATTAAAAAAATGTTTTTCTTGAACTTTTATTATCCAATTTTTAAAGTGATGCCCAGGTTATTCTTTAAGGCAAAACCCTTAATTCCTGCAGCCAAGTTTCATGGAAGAACAAAGGTAAAGTTTTCTCTCTACTCCATCAGTTTACCTTCACTTGGATAGACGATACTATAGAAATTTTCATTTGTGCATTGATGAGGATTCTGAATACTAAGTCAGACCTTGAGGTTGTACTTCAGCTTGTGGTACTCTTAAGTCATTAATTATCTGGTTCCCTCATGTAAAATATTATGGGCTTCCTGATGTTTCCATGTGTTCTAATTTTGCGGAGAATCCAGAAAAATGGAGGATGGCATGTGCAGTGTGCATGTGAATACATCAAAAAAACAAAACAAAACAAAAGCCTCTCTAATTCCGTATCAAAAAGCAGGTAAAAGTATCTAAAAGTGTGCAACCAAATCTCTATTCTGATTTCCCCTGAGGAAATTTAATTATAAAATAAACAGATTATTAAAAATCAAGATGTTTGGAAGATTAATCAGAAGGTTTAGACAAGAACATGGAGAGAACAATTAGTTATAATGAAAGACAAATCTTAATTCTCTCAAGGAACTGGAAAAAAAAATCAAAGCCTATACTGGAGAAGGCGAATTCATTTCTCATGATTTTAGGGGGCATCATAGGATCTGCTATAGACACGACTGGTTAGATTTGGCCTTGGTTGAAAGTTCTGGTTGGGGGCATTCTTAAGAAAAAATGTTTTCACTCAAAGATAGTTCTGAGTATATCCAAGCAATTCTCCTAACTCACAGGCCTCAAATTCTTCCCTATTACCAAGACACCAGAAGCTTTCCTTTGCAAAGTCTGCTAACAGGGTACCAATAGAAGCAGACATTATGCTAAAGAGCAGTTTTTGAGGGGCAGGACAGGGGACAGCAGCCAGTCTGCAGCACAGGTGTCCCACACTCGGCCACCAGTACACTAAAGACCTAGAGGGGGGCTCCTCATGTTGGCCAGTATGGAAGGATGACAACAGCACAGAAATACAGGGAAAAAGAAACTTATCACATTTGGGTTTTTTCCTTACTTCCAGGTACTGGGGACCCTGTGAGTTTGGGGAGAAAAGTGCCCTATAGTAAATCGTTTATTATTTATTCAGGAGGCCTAGGGCTTTAGGTCCTGAGTCTGCTCTTTATTTAATTTTTTAAATTTTTTTTTAATTTGTGAGAGACACACAGAGAGAGGCAGAGACACAGGCAGAGGGAGAAGCAGGCTCCCTGCAGGGAGCCCGACGCAGGACTCGATCCCTGGACCCGGGATAATGACTTGAGCCAAAGGCAGATGCTTAACTACTGAGCCACCCAGGTGCCCATGAGTCTGCCCTTTAGTAGCCATGTAACCTTGGGATAGCTACTTGACCTTCAGAGCCTCACCTCCTCAACTGTAAAATAGGAATCACTGCAGTGATTTCATGAAGTTTTTGTGAAAATTAAATCAGGTAATATATGTACCGCTTAGCACAGTGCTTACATACTGTTAGGTCTCAATAGTTATTTACCACTGGCTATGGAATACGGACTGTCATCAAGCAGGGAGAAGGCACTATCACAGGAATAAATGTTGTAAGAAAAAGACGTTTGCTAGAAAGGCCTGGCTTAGCTGCAGGGAATGGGCTGATGTTTTTTTCTATTCTGTGAACCTGATAATTTGGAACACATGAAAGCTTTGGGTGGTCATTCTGGGTATGGCCTGGTTATTTAAAGGAATTCACAAATCATTACTTATGGGGAGAATAAAGAAAGGAAGAGCCTGATCTACCTGTAATTTTCCTGAACCAAACTAAAATACCACTCCTAAAAGTAAGAGAAAGTGCTTTAAAAGGTCCTTAAAATGGGGGGAGAGGAAAAAAAAAGTCCTTAAAATAGCTTCTAAATGTCAAAGTTAGCAAGAGGATAAATAGGAAATTCTAATATAAGTATATAATGTTTAAATATTTAATCTGTAATAAGCATGGAGTCTTTTTAAAAATTTCATTATGAACTCTCACAAAAATTCTTTCAACCTTTGCAACAGAACTCATAATGAAAGATCACAGTTCTTTGAGACCCAAACATCACCCAATCCAGACCCTCTTTGCCTGAGTCCAACAGGGATGAAGTGACCAGCTCCAGCCAGGCAGCGGCCAGCATCCAGCTCATGGGCTCAGGGCTTTCTCATGGCACCATCTCGCTTCACTTTCTTACAAATGAATGAACGAGCACAGTGTTCATGCACCTTGTTGGAAATTTCACAGTGAGAATTCTGAATTTGCAATTACAAAATTCTCATACTGATATCGGAAGTTCTTCCTTTGACAGCACTGTCTCCAAAATTCTTGTTCTCAGCACTCAATACACGTGTACACACACACACACACACACACACACACACACTTTGTTACATCTACACAAAGGTTTCTTTGTAGATTCAGAGCTATATTAATTATATTAAATGTTGTCTATAGAATATACAATTTAATTTCCAACTGCTCTGCATTAAGAAAAACAAACCCTACAAAAAAGCTTACCTCAAAAATTTCAAAGCCATAAATGTCCAAAACACCCATGACCTTCTTTCTCACTTTGGTCTGCGCCTTAAAAAAAGTTTAAAATTGATGGGTTAATTTAAGCCTGAAATATAACACTAAAAGCATACTAAGGAATATCGACCTATATTATAAGTTAATTGCATTTCACACTACAAGAATAACTATAACTAAGTTTTGTTTTTAAGAATGTATGAGGTAGAAAGTTGGCATGGAATCTTCCAGAAATTTTAATAATAGATGATTCATTTAAAGATAGTAGTAGTGATGCTTAAATATAATAAAAGATCACTGAATGTTACGATATAGGTAAGGCCTTTCAAAATCATACTACTCCATCCAATATGCTCATTTTACTGAAGAATACATCAGCAGCTAGAGAGGTCAAGTGACCTTTTCAGCCAAGTGCACACAACTAAGACCTGGAATGCTCTCAGAGTAACTCAAAGACCAGCAGAGCACTGTGAGATTTCTTATAAAATACATGGCAAAACAAAATAAATAGAATCCTGACAAATTTCAACATATGCAAGGACAATTCTTTTCAAGGAACAATCTTTGTAAGCGGTAATCAGTTACCTGATTATAAAATTAAAATATCTTTAACTTAATGTTTATACTCTGAATAGCATTTATTACAACTGATTTATCTGGTTAAAGAGAGTCAGTACCTTAATGCTTTCATTGATTCGATTTACCAGCCATGAAAACAATCTGCTGTAGAGGTTTTTAGCCAGAGCATCACGGGCATAATATGCCTATTAAAAAAAAAAAAGAAAGAAAGAAAGGAAGAAAAACTCAGCACACACTATTGTCATAATGCTTAATTTCAATAAAATAATAAAGATATTTTTTAAATACTTAAAGCTCTTTTATTTCCAATTTCTTCTCAGAGCCAGTCTTCATTATATGCTGGATGAACAGTCAAACTGTTAAGAGAACTGTGCAAACTATTTATACCCAATTATTATATTTTTTTGCATCCCAGGAAACTAATTCTAAATATTGCAAACACTTTCTCCATAAAGATATCCATCTCAGTATCACAGAACAGAGGAAATGAGAAGCAATTAGAAGTCCAACAACAGGGGAACAGTAAGATAAATAAATGAATGCCCACTCAAAGGGAAGTTATAGTTGTCACAGAAAGATCACAAAAACTAGGTAATAAAATGGAAAATGCTTAGGTTTTGTGAAAATAAAAAACTGTATATTTTTTATGAAGACTATATCCTTGTAACCCTAACACATAGGAAACTCAAAGGAAAAAACATTGAAATGATTCTGACTGATGTGATCTAAAAACCGTTTCCTTCATTCAACCTTCTGAACATTTAAAAAAAAAAATTTTGTAATGGGGACACCTGGGTGGCTCAGTGGTTGAGTGACAGCCTTTCACTCAGGTTGTGATCCCAGAGTCCCAGGATCGAGTCCTGCATGGGGCTCCCTGCAGGGAGCCTGCCTCTCCCTCTGCCTGTGTCTCTGCCTCTCTCTCTGTGTCTCTCATGAATAAATAAAAATAAAATCTTCTTTAAAAAAAGAAAAAAAAATTCCGTAACTATTAGTGTCGCAATACACTGTTGCTGTTTTTAAGACACTGACCACATACGTGCATTGCACTGCTTATAAGTAGAAATTTGGGCATTTCTATTAAAGTAAACCATTACATTTTTGTTTTATAAAGAATTAGATGATAAGGAAAGTTTTTTTCCATGTTTCTTTCTAAATGAAGTGTAACAACTTTAATAACAATCACCTCGCTGACAACATACTGAAGCTTTAGAGTACCTTTTCTCTTCCTCTGACACTTCACATCTGACACATGCTAATCCCAAACCTTTCTCCCTAAGTGTCAGGCAGCCACTCCAGCTAGAGTGGCTAGAAAATCCACCTGGAAGTTGGCAAACAAATAGAACCCAACTGCACAATGCTGTCTTGAAGGGTGATTTTTAATGATCCCACTGCAGAAAATGCATGTAAATGCTGAAACAGAGAAATAAGCTTAGATTTAGATGAACATCTTTACTCTCCTTTCTTCTAGGTTTTATTTTTTAAAAATAGGCCACACAAGTGCCTAGAACAGCGCCTGGTACATCATAGTCTATACATGTAATGATATTATATGACTTCTGAAATATCCTCTTCCTTTCCCACTCATGAGCCTATAGAATTCTTCCTTAATCCTTTCCCCTTTCTTCTTTTAATTTCCAGTTACCTCAAAAAACCACATAATCTCAAAATACCTATTTGTAAACAGAATGTCATCATAATGGCATCTGGTGTTTTTAGTTGTGTTCTATCTGCTTCCAACAAGCCACCATTTCCATATGCAACTGAACTAATAGTGACAACTTATCCTGGCACTGCTTTATATTTTTTAAAATGTATTCACAGCCAACATATTCATCTTTTTTGCTTCCTTCAAACAAATATTTATTCCAGAAGTTTCAAGCTCAAGTGCTTCCAGGGATGGCATGATAGAAATGAATGGGAAGTAGTAGGATCTGCAGGGGTTCAAAGATGCATTCCACATTAAAGGCAGTAAAATTCAAAATTTAAAAAGCAAGCAAACAAAATGAAACAAAACAATAACAACAAAACTACCCTTTCATCAAATAAGATATTGAGCTGTATCTGGCCCCAGGAGCTGTCAATCTGCCAGCCCTGACTTCTCGAGTCTGATTCATGTCACCTAATTTCCACAGTAACATCCTCCCAGAATGTCCCCATCCAAGACAGAGGAAAAAATGTTTATTCTCACTTAAGGAGCACTAACAAGGTGTGTAGAAATAAGGAAGACACTGAGTGCATAGATTCACCATCTCCAATTCTAAGGCCAATATGAAAAGACTGCATTTCTGCAGCTGCGTGAAGCCCATGGAGAAAAATCCCAAGTGGAATGTGCTTCAGAGGTGACCAGTACTGGTCTGTGGCCCAGGTAAAGGCGATACACAGATGTATGGCCCTTGGGCCCATCCTGTAGTAGCTTAAGGTGGAGTGGCGGAGATCAAACCAGTATGAATGAATCAATCAGAGAGCAAGTGCCCAAGGAGAGGAAAAAAAAAAAAAGGAATTCAGAGAAGGGAGAAGAGGGGGCCTGCTACAATCCAGGAAGCCTTCCTGGATGAAGTGTAATTAGATAGAACATTCAGACAAGCAGGAAGAATTAGCCAGGGCCTATGAGTAAAGGATAAGTAAGAGCAAAGACATGGGGTAAATATAAGGATGGTAAAAAAAAAAAAAAAAAGTTCTCTTATTTAGAGAACTTAGCAGGGAATAAATTGAGATCAACTGTGTAGGGTCAGATTAGCCTGAGGCCCGTGGAAGCTGAATGACAACTCTGGTCTTGAGTTTCTATCATTTCACTCTTCATCAGTGTATCTGAGGAAAGATCTACGCGCCTTGGGGAAGATGAGGAATGCGGTGATAAAGGTGATAATGGCGCCCAAGAACTGAAGCTATGAGGAAAATGTTAATAAAACAAATTACTTCTCACTGGAATCAAAACTTTTAGGCAAGAAGACCGGTTGAAACCTAAACCCTACGTTAAAAAAATAATAAACCTTGAATAAGGAGCTGAAAGATCAAGGACCTCAAGTCAAATTCTTTTACGCCAAAGGTAAAAGGAATGTGGAAAACTTTAACCCAGTGATGCAAGGTGACTCAAGCTAATAAAAAGTAGGAGGCACCTGGACCTGGTTTCCGTAGACGATGATTAAAAGGCAAGAGTAAAACACACAATGAAAACACCACGAAATATCCACATATGTGTATATATGGAATATCTATATACAAAAATGTGGATATTCCTAAAGGGCCTTCTGAAACAGCAGGCATTTTCTCTTTGCAGCAGCATATACTTCACGATCCCCACTCCAGCTATTGAGAACGTCTCAACTCCATGTAACCTTCATTCAATACAGCGGTTCTCAAAATGTGGTTCCTGGACCAGCAGCAGCAGCTCCACCGAGCTTGTCAGACAATGCAGATTCTTCCCTCGGTCTCCCCACACTACTGAATCCAACGCCCCAGGGGCACAGCCCGCAACCCGCAACCCGGGTTTGCAAACCCTCCAGGGGGTACTGACGGACGCTCAAGTCTGAGAACTGCCTCCATACTTCACCTTTCCAGCTGCGTTGCTCTGAACCCAAGTCACAAGTCTAAAGCTACAGCTGAGCTCAACCAACCCTCCCCCGGATGTGGACTCCAAACCTGGCTTTTCTCATTGTTTTCTTTTTGAAATGCACTTTTGCCCATTCTTTAGACATCTAAACCCTTCAAGACTGGCTCGGAAACCATCTTTCCCGTCTCCCGTCATCCCTTATGCCCCTGAGAGCGGTCTACCTGGGGGCCTATGCTGAGCAGGCTCAATGACTCAGTATCTCACTATCTGACTTTGCATTTGTAAGGTTGACCTGGACAGACAGGACAGCAGAAGTAGTAATGTAGGAAGAAGGACACACAACGGTTATAGCTAGAAAATTTGCATGTACACCACGTTATAGTATTTTCCATAGTCAGAACAGCTTGCCTAAAATGAGAAATCAACACCAGGCATCCTTGGGTCTAGTTCGGAGCAGGGAGGGGAAAGAATAAGTCCACCCACTATCTTACAGATGCTTGAGGCCACTTACAGAGAGGAGGAAAATACGGCTGGACCGTGGGGGGAGAATCAAGTAGGGCTCTGTGGGAACAGTCCCAAATTAATCATTTAATTCCAGCCCAGATCAGCACTGACCAATGGGACAATGTCTGAGCCGCAGAACAAAGGGTTTATACCGCAACAGGCTCCAGAAGCTGCCTTGGTATAACATCCACCCTCGCATCCATCCATTCATCCATTTAACTTGAACCAACAGAGGGAAGAAATAAGCATCTCCGACATGTGTCTCAGAAAGACTTCATTGGCTTCAGATGGACAAGATAGAATAAGGAAGGCAGGGAGGCCAAGCTTCTCCCACTATGTTCTCCAAATGGGTGAAAGGCAATCCTAGCTTTCCAGTTGCCTGGGTGGAAACTGTTGGGAGTCATCCTGAACCTTCTCTTTCTCTCATACCACGTATCAGGTCAGCAGCACTTCTTGTTACCTCTACCTTCAAAATACCCCCATACTGCTGCTCACTCCACTGCTATCCCCTGATTAAACCACCCTCATTTCTAGGTTAATTCACAGTTCCTTGCAGCTCCCCAGAGCCATGAACTGAATGTACATGTTGTCCCTCCACCCCACCCCAATTCCGTATGTTGACGCCCAAATCCCCAATGTGATGATCCTTGGAGGTGGGGCCTTTAAGAGATAGTTAGGTTTAGATGTTAGATGAGGTCATGAGGGTAGAGTTTCCAGGATGGAATCAGTGTTCCTTATAAGGGGATGAGGAGATGAGGACACCAGCATGCACTCCTCCCCTCCCCTACCCCTCGCTCTTGTGAAGAAGGTGGCCGTCCATCAACTAGGAAGGTGGCCCTCACCAAGAACGCGACCATGCTGGCTCCCTGATCTCAGCCTTCTAGCCTCCAGAACTATGAGGAATAAACGGGGTTTTGGTTTATTTGTTTAAGCCACCCGATGATGGCTTTCTGTTATAGTAGCCCAAACTGAGACACCTTGCTTGTACCCTTCTTCTCCTACACTCTGCTCCCCACACTGCAGCCAGAATGACCCTCTGAAATACACAGCAGGTCAGGCCACTGGTGTCACTTCCCAACTCACTCAGCCCGGACTTCCCTGCCCCAGCACCATGGGTCTCCCTTATGCTGCTCTGGTTTTTCTTTTTGTCTGCTGCTAGCTTGCTATATAAATTTATTTATTTACTAGCTCTACTGGCTATTGTCTGACTCCTCCCCCTGCAAAATGTCAAGCTTCACGAGGGCAGGGGTGGTGATTTGTTTAGTTTGCTGCCCAGAATGATGCCTGCAGAAGTATGACAGTTAATAGAACAGCCTACAAAATACAATTTTTGTTTCTACTTACATAAAAATATCACAGACTTTTTAAAAAAAACTCACTTCTGGACATTACGTTCCACCCACCTGAGCCACATTCAGTGTAGTTGAAACCTTCTCCTGCTTGGCCTCAACGGTTCGGAAACTGAAGGCTCGTTCTAGAACAGACTGATCAATGCCGGTCAACTCACAGATTTCTTTTAACTCTGTTGGGGGATGGACACAAAGAGTGACTGCCTATGTGCTGCTAAAAATCATTGCCAAGGCTCTCAGTGTTCTCTCGGAATCACATTCAAATCAAACAGCATAAAATGTATAACTCGAGAGACTTAAAACTCAGCTATAATTATGTTTCTGTTCAGTTTCATTGGACATGTTTTCAAAACAATGAAAAGCAAAAGTTTTACTTTCTAGATTAAAAATTGGGCAGAAGTTCAAAGCAAGTTTGCTAATAAACAAGGCTGACTCTCCACTGACTTACCATTTTTATCTTTGATTTTGCTTTCATCTAAACCATTCACTCGAGATTCGGGCTTGAACTCGATGTTCCCCAGTTTCAACACCGCTGCCACCACTTCCAAGACAGACTCGGCTTCATCATCCATAAAACCCACAATCTGCATGGCATTCTGGGGGGTTGGGGGGGGGGGCGAGAAAAGCAGCTGTTTTCTTTCTGCCATTCTTTTATTATTATTATTTTTTAACTAAATCACATAACACATTTGTTTCTGAAAAAAAAAATGTAAAGACAAAGTGTCTGAGAACAAGCTCCCCAAAAGGCAAACCTATTAACAGACCAGGTGTAGTACCAGTGTGGGGCTCTAACTTGTTCGGTGGTCTCAAGGGGTGATTCAAGGATCCCCCCAGGGCACTTTGCATGCTATGGCAAGAGGGTGCAGGGGTGCAAAGGAAGAGGAAGAGGGTGGAAGAGGAGGCTAAGAGCTGAACCTTGACTTCTAACCCACTTCCTCTGCAGTAACTCAGTGTGTGCGTGTGTGTGTGAATATGTGCGTGCATATCTATCTTTTTTATACTGGGTTCTGATGCTAGAAAGAAAACCAAACAAAAGGCTTTTTTATAACCTCCTACATGAAAACCGCCTCGCTTATTTTACCTGAGAAAAACTGGTGAAGGTGGACAAGGTGAAGTGCCTAGCTCAAGGCATTACAGGGAACAAGGAACACTGCGTTAGTCATAAATTTTATTGAGTGCCAATGATTTGTGAGGCAAAGCACTACAGAACTGGACTTGAACCCAACTCTTAAATCACGTCCGAAAAGCAAAAGGCTTCCATAGGCGGATGTTTACAGAGTTTTAACAAATTACATACTCAAGGAAATACTTCCTTTTTTGAGAATAGCCCAGCTTTTTTGTTGTATTTGGTTGTGACTCCACTACCTAACAATGAGAATAATGTAAGCTTTTTGTACAGAAAATTTCAAACATATACAATAGTAGAGAAAGCAGGAAAAGAACCCCATGTCATTTTCACTCAGCCTTGAAGATGAACTGATGCCGGTCCCGTTTCAGCTCATTTGACCTGCTCCCACCTCCTGACCATCACAGCTGTCCCATTTGGAAGTAAAGCACAGTGATTATTATATCATGTCCTACCAGGAGTAATTTTCAAAGTGCCACATAAACACAGAAGTTAGGATATGGTTTAAAATAATTTTTTTAAAAGATTTTATTTATTTATTCATAGAGGCATGGGGGGCGGGGGGGAGAGACACAGGCAGAGGGAAAAGCAGGCTCCATGCAGGGAGCCCGACGTGGGACTCGATCCCGGGTCTCCAGGATCACGCCCCAGGGTACAGGCCCTGATTGAAAATAATTTATCTTCTAATGAATGTGAAATGCCAATCATTCTGGTTTACAAATGATTTTTGGAAAAAAAATATAAAAACATGACTTTTCGTCTCAAAAACACTATTGATTCAGTGCTTTCCTACGACAGTTTTCATAGTTGGAAATGAACTACTAAACGATGGCCATGAAAATATTTGATTTATATGCAGCATTAGAAGAGTCCGGGTAATCTAATAAAGAAAGCTCCTTTTGATAAGTAGTAAAATCACATACTCTAGTTAAGCGCAGGCCTTCACAATATTGTATGATTTTAATAAGAATACAGTAAGTTCTTGTGTAATTCCAAAGCCTAAGGGAGCATGGTTATACCTCAGAAAACTCAGAATTGTTACCAATTCCAAATGGGCGACACATTTTAGAGAGTAATGGAAGGACTGTATCTCGCTTACCCTAACAGTTCTGAAATTGGCTGCGTCGTCCACTCCATTAACTTTGGCCGAGTCCAAACTCAGGTAGTTATATCTGCTGAAATCCCGCTCCAGTGTAAGCTTATCTATTGAATCACGCACACAAGTTGGTAAGTTACTTCAATAAATCTAACCATCTTTAACATCTCATTCCTTAAAACCTCCAGATAAAAGGACTTTCGTCTTAGGTACTTAGGCAACAGAACAAAAATCGATACCGAAATATTAATAGCATTCTTCACAAAATCTACCTTTACTACTGTTGTACATATTTCCAACTGCATTTTCACATTTATTTGTAGTAAGGCCCCTTCCGTATTTTTGTAAGATAAAACATCTTCAAGGTACCATTTCGTTATAGCAAAGGACGTCTGCGATGGATTCCTATGCCTCTGGACGGCAGGACGGTGATAAAGGTCTTCATGCAAAACATTCTTTGGATTCTTTCGAATTACTTCATTGGGATGTATTCCCAAAAATGGTGCACCTGGGCTCTTATCATCGTATGACTTATTCCGGATGGCCAATTAGTCCCCACGAAGGGGTCCTCACTTGGAAGGAAGGACACCCACAAGCCCTACGCAGACCGGGGCCTGCTCCCCTCTGCTAGCTCTGTCCTTTTTAATGACTTTTGCTGATAATGTGTATAGCGCACACTTCAGTGCTGTTTCTGTGACACTTGAGGATTATTAGGATAATTCTTGCCCAAATGTCATTTGCTTTCCATAGTTCTAATTTGGACTATTTGCTCAAAACTTTCATCACTTCACTATTAGCTTATTGGATACTATCCTGGTGGACTTGGATTAATTCCTTAAAATAGCCGAAGGTCAGATTTTTAACTCTTGTATCAATTACAAATGTTTTCCCACTATGTTTAATCTTCCCTGAGCAATTCTTTTTTTTTTTTTTTTTGTAATAATTGTTCTCCTTACTGCTCCCTGCTGATTTCCTCTTCCTGAGTGGAACAACTATTTTCTTCCATTTGATTGTTTAGATTTATGGTTCTCTCCCCCTGATCCCTCTACTATTTAACTGGCTCTCTGAGTTAGCCATCTGAGACCTGTGCACAGCATCTGGTGAGGTACATGCAGCAAGCAGATGCTGGGGCCGATGACAGAAGCAAACATACCATGTTCTTCACCTCACCCACAGTCATGCAAGAATTTTAAGAAACAGGGACTTACTTAGGAGCTCTTCAGAGGCACCGGAGAGCAGCTGATAGAACACGTGGAAGTTCCTTTCACCTCTTGGCTGCTTAACAACTCGAGACTTCTCTAAAAGATCTAAAGAAGAGAGAAGAGTCAAATCATGGCATATGGTTAATTCTGCTTGCAAATCCACCCTGGTTCTTCTCTGCCACCCCTCTCCCTTTTTCATTGTCTGTTTTGTGTTACTGAAATAAATAATGATAGAAGCTACATTTTCAGTTCTCCCCTTCAGGAAGAACCCTGGCTCTAACTAAAATCACCAGATTAAACAAACCAGGTTCTCGGCAAACAATAGTGAATATGCAAAATAAGTTCAACAATAACATTTGACGAGCTGATGAAAGACAATACGGTTTATATGAAGGTGCTTTGGGTTCTATGTAATATGTGATGACATTAAGTTCTTCAAAACACAGCATTACAAATCTCAGCCATTCAGTTATGAATCCGCTTAATAATTATAAAGTTAATGTTTCTGAGATCTTATTATGCGCTAAGTGCTTTATAGTCATTATCTCATTCAATCCTCACGGCCATTCTATCAAGCATTATTCAACAGATGAAAAAAAGAGCCCAAGGTTTACGTAGGATTTGAAATCAGGCTGTCTGACCCAAATGCAAACCCTACCTCATCATATCCACACACTCTGCTACCTGGGATAAAGGAAGCAGATTTTCTTTATATTTCAAAGTCTTAAGAGAATGAAAGGTGATTTCATTTCATGGAATTTGGTGTTGTTATTTGGCAGTATATTTTCCTTGGTTCTACATGCTTTTTCATCTGATATTTTGATTCTTATCAAGTTATCAAACTTTCATCCAAAGCTAAAGGAAGGAAGAGGGAGAGAGAGAAGGAGGAAGGGAGGGAGAAAGAAGCCAAACAACCAGAAAAGAGTCATTATGGCAGTATCCAAGAGATGGCAAATACAATGGCAGAGAATATTCCTGCCTGAAGTCCTGCTTATCACAGACTAGTGACATAAAAGAGGGTCTGGATCCTGTGGGCAAAAGCTAAACTTAGTTATAAAATTCCAAATCAGTGATCCCGTTATTAATTCTAGAGGATAGACACATTTGATTTCTTTTTTTAAAAAAAAGGTTTTATTTATTTATTCATGAGAGACACACACACACACACACACACAGAGAGAGAGAGAGAGAGAGAGAGAGAGAGAGGCAGACACAGGCAGAGGGAGAAGCAGGCTCCGCACGGGGAGCCCGATGCAGGACTCGATCCCAGGACCCCGGGGTCATGCCCTGAGCCGAAGGCAGGTGCTCAACCGCTGAGCCTCCCAGGCATCCCCACATTTGATTTCTAATCAGGCTGAGATCTAAACAGTATCAAAGGAATGAGGGAGAGGTGTGCAAATTCTCTGGGAATGGTCACTGAACTTCTCAATTGGTATTTCTGGAAGCCACACTAGCATGTAAAGAGGAGGTGAGGTAGAGTTAAAGAGCGCAGATTCGGTGAATGAGAAGTCTCAGGGGGCTCCCAAAACCTGAGGTCATTTGTAAGAGTGAAGGGATGGATTGCAAGGACACATCAAATTAAAAATGAGAACAAATATAAGTTCAAAAATTACAGGAACAGGATGCTCCAGAGTTTTAGTTTTCATCTCCAGCTCTCATTTAATTTGGAAGCCTGCCCGTTCCCTCAAATCAAACGTGGAGAATAATGAAGACTTCATATTTAACAAAAAAGAAACAGAAGAGAAATTGAAAACCCGAGGGAGACAAAATTTAGAAAAGAAGGGATTGTGTACTATTCATCCTCTCTAAGGACTGAATGTTTCAGTCTGTAACTAAACACTGACATACAAAGCAGAGGACAGAAAGCAGGTAAGATAAAAATGGACTATGACGATACTTCTTAGCATGTGACCAAGCTCCTATGGGGTTCTGAGAAGACAGACATAGCTTAAGAAGAAAAAATCCACAGAGCATGGGCAGATTCTTCACTGAGAAGCTAATCCGTAGACAAAACCCCTCAAGCCTAGAAGGAAGTAACTCAACTACATGAAAAATATAAACAAATGCTACAGTTCCCTTCATATGTTCACATACAATTCCTCCAATCAGCTCACTTACTGCTCACCCACTACACCCCAGGAACTATCTGGAAGCGCACCCAACACCGACCGCAAATATGAAAACCTTCTTCCCTGAGGCCTAGGAACGTCCCACACTCTCCGATTACTCCCACCACCCAACCAACAGCAGTTCTCTTCAAGCTGGGGTGCTGGGCCCCCGAGAGAGAACAGGAGGTGGGGTGGGGAAGGCAGCACGACCATGTGTTTGGGGGACACCCCCAAACTCCCAGGCTCTTCCCACTGCACTAGAAATCCTGCCACACACCTTGCGAGCCCTGGCGCCTGCGGCCCCTCATTTCACATGGGTCCCTTCATCGTGATGACAAACAGGTGTCTGATGGTACTTGTCCCATCACCTTCCAACATGCCACATGTGGCCCTTCAGGACATGAAGAATACTCTCAAAGCAGGTCAGAGCCACATACGACCAGTCTCATGTTTGGCACTCTTTGAACAAATGCTCATAGGAAATGGGATAAAACAGTGATGGCTAGAAGATTCAGCAGACGACACACATCAAAATAAAGAATAATATTCATGGGGCACCTGGGGGGCTCAGTGTTGAGCGTCTGCCTTTGGCTCAGGTCATGACCTCAGGTCCACCTCGGTCCTGGGATCGAGTCCCACATCGGGCTCCCTGCATGGAGCCTGCTTTTCCCTCTGCCTGTGTCTCTGCCTTGCTCTCTCTCATGAATAAATAAATATATAAAATCTTTATTTAAAAAAAAAGGGCAACATTCACATGTGCACAGTGTGGAAAGGAATGTTGGTCAATATGCTGATAGGATCAGTGATTGCTATCACATTCAAATACGAAGCATAATATGACGCGTGTGTAAAAGGAAAGGTGCAAAGGCGAAGCAGGAAGCGAACTGTCCCTGACCTCCTGCTATGAATTTGGTGCTTTTCATGCGTTATCATATTCAACCCCAAACACCTCCCTGGAGGTTGGTTTTATAATCCCTATTTTATAGATGAGAAAATGACGCTCACATCGCACTGTTACTAAGGGACAGAGCCAGAATTCAAAGCTTCAGGTGACTAAGACACCGTCTTACACTGCCTGTAACTTTCTAGCAAAAGGAATGCAAAATCCATAAACATTAGGAAAGGCTGTACTTTACATAAAATATATAGCTTCACCTAAGCAACTCAATCACAAAATGAGAAGTCTTTTTTATTACAGAGCAGTGGAAGGTTTTAGCGCCTAACATGCTTCGTCTATTGCTCCAGAGCCTCCTATTTCTTTATGACTTTTCTTGTAGGTCATAAGCTTCCAGGTAGAAAAGTAATCAGGGAAAAGGCTTGCCCCCAAATAATTTACTAACGCTTGAAACCATTCCCTATTCCTTTTTAAAAAAAATATTTTTAACATATTTTTTTTATTTTTTTAAAGATGTATTTATTTATAATAGACATAGAGAGAGAGAGAGAGAGACAGGAGGAGGAAGAAGCAGGCTCTATGCCAGGAGCACGACGCGGGACTCGATCAGGGGACTCCAGGATCGCGCTCTGGGTCAAAGGCAGGTGCTAAACCGCTGAGCCACCCAGAGATCCCCACCATTCCCTATTCTATTTATTTTTAATGGGCACGCACCAATGCAATCTAAGAGTAGGAAGCCCTATCGAATGGCTATTCGAAATACAGAACATAAATTTACTATAAAGACTTGCCACCTGATCATTTTAATTTACTGAATGGTGCCCTGAATTAGTCAAAGCAAACACTGGCTCAGCCTCCTCTTGGCTTGACGTGATTGTGCCACCACTGAGTCTAGAAGATTTAGTAAAGAAGAGTGTGGGACATGCCGAATGTTCAGTAGAGGAGAGAGTGTAAGTCTCCATGTATCCCAATGCAGTTTCCCTGCAGCGCATTTCCCCCTCAAAATATACATTTAAGTTCACATTAAATTTGATACAAACTTAAGTTTTAGGGGAAGAGCTAAACCTATTAAACCATTCTAAAGGAGAAAACCAGCAGACAGGGGCAGAGAAACTCTGGAATCCAAACTTCCCCACCTGCCCCCACCATGCCACTGCCACCTGACTATTAGCAGAACCAGGCTGTCACTCAGGGGCTTTCCTACTTTTGACTCATCACCAGCTAGTCTACGACACGTACATGTGCCCGTGCACAGCAGAGGCCAACCTCCCCCCAAGTACAAGACATAAAAGGAGTAAAACGTGCATGTTTGCATCCACTGGAGAAGGAAGTCTTTCAATTGGCAAAGGAATAGTAAGATAAGAAGTAGTTGGGGGGAAAATCACATTACTTTAGAACATAACAGATGAAAGATTAGATAGTATGATCAGATTTATTTTATGTAGAGTCTCCCTTCCTGAAAAATAGAACAGTCCAAGTCCAAGGCTTAAGGAATAATCAGCTTGGTCTCAGTTTTGCCAAGAAGACCAGTGATGATGGAAGGCCCATGATGCACAACACTGACCGACCCCCAGAGATCCTGTGTTCCTCTCCAGTTGCTCAAAGATAGATATTATGAAGAAAGTATTTATGGGCACTTAGGCTTTTCTAATCAATTTACGCTCTTGTATCGCTGCTTTTAGCAATAATGATGGGCCTACAATCTTTTTTTTTAATATACAAAAACATTTTATCTTTAAAATTGTTTTATATTTAAATTCAATTAATTGACATATAATATTAGTTTCAGAGATAGTGGTTAGTGATTGATCAGTCTCCTACAATACCCAGTGCTCACTGCATCACGTGGATGGGTGTGCAATCTAGGTAACCAGTGAGTTAGTGAGCATACCCAAAGGTAGTTTCTGTGGAAAATGGACTATGAGCTTAAGTCTGCTCATGGATTACAGTATACATTCTAAAGTCAACCCTCCACTTTTTCTGGAAACATACAATAAAACCCTCCAAGCTGATAATCAGGAAGTTTCACTAATGGGGCGAAGGTCTTCTTACAAATTGTTCCCTGCATGTGTGTATTATGGTGAATGAGAGCGCAAGTAAGC